CCCCCCCCCCAAAGTAACTCCACATAAACAATGCAAGGGAAACATACTCTGCACGACCCAGGTAACCCAGTCCGCACTCGCCGCGTGCTCCCAGACAACCAACTCGCCCCCGGGCTTCAACAGCCGCCAGAGCTGGGCGACCACTTGCTCCGGGTGCTCGACGGAGCACAGCACGCCGAAGCTGGTCACGCAGTCGACGCTCTCGGCGACGAGCCCGTGCCTCTCGAGGGCCGCGCGGTCCATGACGTCGCAGAACACCGGCACGTACAGGGCGTCCAGCTGCAGCGCCGCGATCCTGGCGGTCAGCGCCGCGCGGAACGCCGCGTTGGGCTCCACGCCGTAGATGGCGGTGATCTGGTCGGTCTTGTATCGCTGCAGCTGGTTGCCGGATCCGGGCCCCAGCTCGAGGACGGTCCCGTGGGCGGCGGCCGCGAGCGCCGGCAGCGAGGTCGTGTCTTCGTAGGCGATGAAGTGCGGTGCTTTGCATTGGGGGAATCGATGTCAGTGCATGGCCCATGCCCAGTCGGTGCAGTTGATCAAGAATGCTACGCTAACATACAAACTTCCGTAAACCACTGCGCGAACGCGCGGCGCTGGACTGAGGTCCCCGGTTCATGGTCGGTGGATCTGTAGACCGTCCATATAGCTGGACGCCGGGGAATGCGAGACCCTTGTCAGTATACTATACGTTTAGGTCCTATGAGCTGGGAGAAAGCTATACATTTGAAGGCACTAAGTAGTGGGTTGGACTTGTCAGAGTAGCTGCGGAGGCGGGCTTTCAGGTCGAACCCCATCGTAAACTAACTTGTGTGGGAGGATCGGGGGGGGGGGGGTCTTATCTTTTGGTGTAGTGTACTCTGCTAACCGGGGCTGCAGGGCACGGGCAGCTTTTTATATGCGGGCGAGCGAGACGGAGCTAAGCAGGATATGGTGTCATGCTATCCAGATCCTTCTGACTCCAGTCATTTCCCGCATACTCCCGGTACATGCTATTCTTGTGCTTATCTGCATGGTTCGGTTTAGTGCCACTATATGTGTGTGTGTAGCGGCTCGGTTGCGTGCGTACATTGCTGGCTGTTGGACTGCTTGGTGGTGATGTATTTTGTGCATGAAACTGGCATACTTAGTTGGCCATATGTTTTATCTTTCTTTTTTTGTTATCTGTTGTACATGCTCTCTTGTATAGGCATACTTGATTTTTTGTTTGCAATACAATCGGATATATAAATGGAGCATTCGTGAATACCCACCAACCCAACAGCATTGCAACCCTGTGGACTAAAGCGAAATAGAATTTACGCCTACATACGTAGAACAGTGCTAGGTACACCACTTATATGTATCAGAGAGTCGACAAATTCAACCACTGACTGATTATGCTTGTACAAGACTAGACCTAATTATCAAAACTCCTATATTCCGCCTCGCTTACACGACAGATATTATCAATAGTTAATATATCCAGAAATGCAGAGCCCTAACATCAATCCAGGCAAGATGGCCGAGTTGGTCTAAGGCGTCAGGTTAAGGTTACCTTAGCACAACAGCTTCACAGCTTCCTGATCATCGTTTGATGGCGTGGGTTCGAATCCCACTCTTGTCATTACTTTTTGCATGTTGCTCGCATGCATCCCAATGGCTGTGAAGTGGGGAGTGCCGCCTGCCCCGCACACTCCGCAGATAGAAAGAGATGAGCACCCTACGACACCAACTCTTCTGCGCCCTCAATTAACAGTATTTTTTTGCCCTTCAATATAGATATGTGAATACTGTTCCTGGCCATGGCAAATGCAGCTCCCTCCCACCAACAATCAAGAGCCCCATGGGTTTGTTAAATCGATAATCAATTCGATCCATCTTCAGCATTGAAGTCGCGACATACTCGATATACACACTCCGGTACCCCTGCACCAGGCAAATTCACCCCCCACAAGAGCACCCCTACTGTAGAACTCTCCCACTAGTCTCCTCGACAATCAGCTCAAACTCCGGTTGGAACTCCGTGTAGAAGTTATGCTATCCATCAAATCACAATCAGCGGCACTTCTTCGACACACAAGTGACTTAAGAGGGAATTCTCACCGCGCCCTGCACAGCATCGGCCGTATACTTCGCCACCTCATCGGAGATGATCTTCTTCTGGACCCCGGTCGCAGCAGCCGCATCCGCCAACAGCTGCGAATAACAGGCATTATCCAAGCTCGAAAAGAGGAAAGCCGCCTCATCGACCGTCCGACCCACGGTCAGAAGACTAGATGCTGGAATGTTAACATGCCTTCCAGTCGAGGCCTCCCACCGGTTTGCGAAATAGTCGATATAGATATTCACAGTGAGAAAAAGAGAGAGAGAGAAACATACCCGTGATTCTGCAGAATACACGCCAAATTCTCCTTCCCCAGCGCCTCGGCTATCTGCCGTCCCTCATCCTGAGCAAGAGCAATACCGCCATGATCATCGTACACACTGAGTCGGCCGAAGAAGTTGCATGCATCTGATTCATGTGGGTTCTATCATTAGCATCAAATCACCAGAGTAAGAAAGTAAGAAAGTAAGAAAGTAAGTAAGAAAGAAAGAAAGAAAGAAAGAAAGAAAGAAAGGAAGGAAGGAAGGAAGAAAGAAGAAACGAACCCTGCGTCAACATCTCCACCGGCTTCCCGAACGCACTCCACGTCTTCCCATACACGGAATGCGTATGCGCCGCGGCGATCACATCCGGCCGCGCCTTGTGGATCTCCGAGTGAATCATGAACCCGGCCTCGTTGATGGGCAGCTGGGCGCCGCCCTCGGTGACATATCCGTCCGCATCTACCAATACTAGGTCCGAGGCCTTGATGGTTGAGAAGTGTTTGGCGAAGGGGTTCATCCAGAAGTGGTCTTTTAGGATGGGATCTGAATATTTGATATGGGGTGGTTAGTCTGGGGCTCGTAGTATGTACCGCACTCAAAGACGCTTCTATCTATGGGAGAAGGGGAAAGGGAAGGCACCTCGCATGGAGATATGGCCCGACACTCCGTCGCCGTAGCCCTTCTTGCCAAAGTATCGAAAGGCCGCGGCCATGTGCTCCTTCATCCACTGCCGCTGGGCATAGACATCGGTGAATGTGGGGATCCCCCGCAGCTTGAGGGTGCCACTACGTGTACCCCGCGCCAGGGCCTGGAAGGCCTTATCGTTGGCGGCATCGCCGGGGTGGAAGTTGTTGTTGTTGACGGCGGCGGGGGCGGCAACGATGGGGAGGGTGCGTTGTTCCGCCTGGGGAGCCTGGGTAATGGTCGTGGACATTTTCTGGGTCAAATTATGGGAGCTATGAAGTAGATATGAGCTATGAGAAAGACTATGACAATTGTCAGGTCTCAACGAGGGGTATCGAATGGTTTTATTACCTGTTTTTTGACTTTGACTTACTACATATCGTCAAGTAGGCAAGTGACTTCGGCCCCGCGGGATGGAATTGGGTTATCAGCTTATCTCCGGCACTTCAGATAGGCTCGTCTCGCCGATGCGCCTTCCACGAACAAATCACTTACTCTTTTGGTTGGCAGGGTTGAACTTTTACTTGCCTAATTTAACCCCCGGCCAGAGCCAGAAAACGTGACGATAAGGGAGTTGAGGCGAAGTCAACCACCCGCTCCATGATAAGTAATCATCTGTGCCTCCGAGGACTCTATACTGGGTAAATTGCTAGTATTCCCCGGCCCGCATCTCTTGGAGCAGTGGTATATCAACCATATTGCCCGCACATATGCTATAAATTGTAACCAGACCGAGTGCTCCAGGTCATCAAGAAGTAAATATATATAAGACAAAGAGAAGGAAAAGTAAAATGAGAGAAACAAATACTACCACAGCAACGCCATCTATACAGGTACCAGCCAGCCAGGGTATACATGAAGAAAAGAAGAAAAAAGAACAACTGTGCCGGGAAAATCGCTCAATGCTACATTGACAAGCATATGTGCACCTCTCTCTCCACACTCACCAGAAAAAGCAGGAAAGGCAGCCGGATAGCCATGAGGCTACACAGCCTGATCACCCGTGCCCTTCAACAGACCCATCTCATATTCATCCCCCCCAGTTGAAAGGTTGCGGCCCCGTCCTCGACCCCGCGACAGAGAGAAGGACTCGTCGGAACCCTCAGCCTGGGGCTGAGACGAGCCTCGCGCCGAACGTCTCGTGTTGTTACTGCCGGACATGCCCCCGAAGCTGATCGGTTGCAACTCCCGCCACCGACACGCCCAGATCCCCAAAAACGTCATGAGGGCGGCACTGGCGCACTGCAGGCCCCACCATAGCCAGTTCGAGGGCACGGAGCGGGTGTAGAAGACGGTGATGACAAGGTGCAAGAAGTGTATCGTGAGCGCAAAGTCGGGAATGAGTTTCGAGCGCGACACGAGAAGTAGAAGATATATCACCCTGAGCGCGAGCGAGCACTATTAGCAACTCCCATCATCTGTACAGGGGAGCAATGGGGATGGAGGGGGGGGGGGAGGTCCAGGACTTACCCTATCCCACTGTTCAATATCCATACCAACCCCAGCATCCACCCTACAGTTGTATCCCCTCTCAAGGAGTTCCAATTCAAGACGAGGTCAAACGAGAACGGAGTGCCGTAGACAATTGTTGTAAATAGTATCAGAGCGGTCGCGGACACATAGTAGGCACTTTGAAGTAGGGCGATCTTCCGCACGATCTTCAAAGGTGGGAGGTCAGTCCGAGGCCCCGCAGGAGGCGGACGTCGGCGCGGGGGCATGAATTGCAGATGTGCTTGTAGTGCTTGCGGTAAAAAAAATGTTCCGTCGAGTCTCCTTTCACCGAGATCTCGCGCGAAAGACTGGTGAGAGGTTCAATGCGTTCGGTGGTGGCAGGACTGCCCGTCGGGCCTTGGATATGTCGTAGGGTTTCGCCCGCCGTGAAAGCCAAACTGCCTTATATAAAGGTTATACCGCAGGGATCACGGGCAGAAAGTTCCAACCTGCAGCAGCTAGTATGGCGACAATAAAAGACTCGAAGAAAATGTCGCCAGGTGGCTGGAAGTGGTGGGAGGTTTGTTTGTGAGGATGAAAGGTGGTGGACGGGATAGGCTAGCGCCACATGATCCGGCCGTCATTGCGGAGCGGAGCGAGCGGGCAGTGCGAATATCCTACAGGGCGCCGCTGCCCTCCATACGAGACTTGCTCAAGGTGTCTTCAATTCTGCATTTCGCACCGCCATCTCGCCCCATTCTTAACAGCTTCCTAAAGGTTTCTTCTCTCAGTTTTCTGCTCTCGGTTTTTTTTTTCCCTTTCAGCAATCCTGCGCAATGGGCTGGCTTCCCTGGTCTTCCGATTCCTCCTCCAACGCCGCCTCCGACGGCGGCCGCATAGCCCCCGATCGATCCTCCCGGCAACGGTGCTACGAAGGTCGCGACCTGTTCTTCTCATGTCTGGATAGGAACGATATCTTGGATGCTGTCAAGAATGACAAGGAAGCGCAGCGGAAGTGTGGAAAGGAACTTGCACAGTTTGAGACTGTCTGCTCGAGAGCTTGGGTGCGTTGCGCATAAACCCTCCCGGACCCAGGTTTCAACCGATCGGTCACCCTGGCTCTGCAAGACCAACCCAAGACTGACCGGAATGTTGAATAGGTCAAATACTTCAAGGAAAAGCGCGTCATGGAATACAATCGGGACAAGACAATCGAGCGCATCAAGCAGGAAGACGCAGCTAAGGTCGAGGATCTGAAATCACAGGGTTGGACTGCGCGGTAGAATGGGGTCATCTAAGTGACAATCCCCCCAAAGAAAAACGTATCGGGTGATAGAACGGTGCTATCAGCCCGAGAACATCCAAACTGTACTATATCGACTTTTCGCCCACCGATGTATAATGACTTCCAAATGAGGCTTTGGGCTAACCACTTACCCTGTGTCACAATATTTACATACTCTCCACTACTCTGCCAGGAATACCAAGTTATTAGCATTATCGTGTGCTTGCATTCCTCTAGCGAGACTGAATAAGAGACGCCCAGTATGGTGCACGGGATCATAATAAGAATAGATACAGATGACCTTTGTAATACAACACACTCTCCCCAATGCCTGACCAATTTTCTGTAAAAAAAGAAACTCATCCATTGCACTCCTGTAAAAATTGCTCGCTGATTCGACCGATGCGAAAGAAACAGAAACCCCAACAACCGAGCCATGATAAAATATCCACAAGTAACATTGATTATCCGACTCTCGACGGATCAATCAATTAACGCCCGACTTTCTGAGACGTCGCCAAAGACCGCAGGTCAGAGAGAATAGAAAGAAGAAAAGAAAGAAGCGAGGTGAGGAAGGTAGTCGAGGAGAGAGCATGCATCACTGCTTCCATTTACCCAGTTGATGCATAATGTTTTGTACTTGGTGGCCAACCGCAGCCTGGTTCTGCGACTGTTGGCCTCCCAGACCTTTCGCAAGCAATGAGATCAAATTAGGATCCGACACCACCGGAGCGTTGGGTGTCTGTAAAGGAAAGGGCTGGGGGGCTAGCGGCTGCTGCGGATTTGCCGCAATGGGCTGTCGGGTTGCGGCATTCAGAAGACTAGCAAGATCCGCGGTAGTATGCGGGGTGGCGGCAGCAGGGGCAGCAGCTGCATGGGGAAATGGCTGTTGCGCGCCGGGAACAGTTGACGGTCGCTGCTGTTGCTGTTGGAGTACTCCCAGAAGCGATTGAAGAGTAGGTCCATCGAGAGATGTAATCAAATTCGCGATGTTAGGCTGGTTTGGCACACTAGGCAAAGCAACCTGAGGCACCGAGGCAGCCGGAGCAGGGAGAGGAACACCAAACGCCGGGTTTGGTGTGAATGGATGGGGCCCACCACGTTGCACGGATTGCGCATGGAACACGATCTCAGCGGCGATGCTAGGTTCAACATCGGGGTATTCTGACCTCATGTTAGATGACACTTATTCCTCGTGAAAGACAACCAGCACGACAGGCGACAGCTTACCATTTGACCGAACATTGTCCGGACCCCCACTTCGATCAAACACCTGCAGCGGAATCTTTCTCGAAAACTGGCTCGGTCGTGATAGTCTGACTATAGCGAGGACACCCTCCTGGATCTGGCGTTGAACTGCAGCGCTGAGTGGGATCCTTGGCCCAAGTACTAGAATATCGACCCGAAGCCCCCGGTTGCGGAACGAGTTCTCAACGTGGAACAAGAAGTTTCTGGACTAGGGCGTTAGCAGAGCGGTTCCGCTAATTAACATGCAAAACGGTAGGACACATTTGACTTACCGATCGACTTCTTCAAGAACTAGGAGCTGCACTTCTGGGACATCCCTTGGAGCTCGTCGGGGAACCGGTATGTCTGTCTCTGATTCATACGCCCCACGTGCCCGCGGACTGGGGCTGCGGTACCTTCTATCCCTGGCGTATGGAGACCGAGAACGCCGCCGCTCACGTCGTTCATAGCGCTCAGGAGTCCGATCCCGGGACCTGTACCCATCCCTGCCGCGGAAAGCACGTGGTGATGGTGACCGAGGTGGACGGTAGTCATCGCGTCGCCGATGGGTCGGTTCGTCCCTGAAGTCGCTGAAAGGCACTCTGCCGGATTCATATGGTCGGTCATAACGCTCGCCCGGAACTCGCGCGTTGCGGTTACCAGAAGGACCGCCTCGAATATATTCAGGGGACCTTGATCGTCTCGAAGGGGGCGCACGGGGCTGTTCCCCAGACGCAGTTCCAGGTCTAGTGTTTCTCTGCGGCTTCGAGATTTCAAGATCTAGAAGGGGTTTCATCATTAGCCTCCAATTTGCCCGTAAGGAGTCTATCGGCTATACTTACGAACTTTCCGTCCTCTGACTACGGCTCCCTGCTCCGAATCTAATGCATTCTTGCAAGCAGAGGAGTCTAGGAACTGAATGAATCCATATGCCTGCTTGATCGAAATCTGAGCGAGTTTGCCGAACTTGTGAAAGATATGGAACAGATCTCGTTTCGTGACACGTTCTGTAGGCAAATTGCCTGCACACATAGTAGAACGGGACAAATTAGCCGGCTGGAAAACGAAGGCGATTGGGCCGTGTGGAGGGGTACAACTCACCAACAAATAATCTAGAGCCAGGCGGGAAACGATCCCAAAGGCCTTCTGTGACATATATCCTCTCATCATGAAGAAACTCGTCGTATTTCTTTTGTACTTCAGGACCCCAAGGAGTATCTTCATCGGCGTTGCTTTTGGACTGTCGAGTACTTATCCGTTCCGCACGACTGTTCTTAGTGGCCGTGGCCGGAGCAGCGGCGGTGGCAGTAGCAGCAGCACTGGGAGCAGTGGCAGCAGTGGCGCCAACAGCAGCAGACTCTTGAGGCTCTGCATGCTGGAAGCTTGCCACAGGGGGAGGGGGCAGCGCGCTGACTCCCGCAGAGGTTCCCGGGGCGCCAGCAGCTGCCAACGGCGATACTCCCAGGTTAGACTGGTAATTATTACTTTGTTGGGCGGGATAGGAAGGGGAGGAGGGCTGTGCGGTGGAGGAACTAGGGGGAAGCTGGTGGTAGGAACGAATGTCATCACTAGCATTGTAGTTGGGATGGATAGAGGGTTTGTCTTGGGGAGGAGGGCGCGGGGGAAGTCCCAGGTCGTCCGTTCCGGCTTGGGAGAGCGCAGATGCATCGGCCGTAGATGGGGCGGTTTCTGCCACGGTAGGGGCAGAGAAAGCAGTAGAGGAGGGAGGGAGATTATCGAGGAGGTTTTGGAAATCGACACCATCCTCACCGGTGCTATCAGCGGGTTTGTTCTGGGAGACTAGGCGATCGGACGGGGGAAACGAGGTCGTCCAGCTGGCAATAGCAGGATCTACCTCACTCGCGCTGGGGTAATTCTGGGCGGCATGGGAAGAAGAGGGAGGGACATCGGGCATAGGGTGAGCTATGATGGCAGCGGCATCTGATGGAGGCATTGTGGTTAGAGAAGAGTTTGTGGCTGTTGTTCCTAGGATCGTAGAAGTGTACGGATTCGAGGGTGCAGATCGATCTGACGGCAGAGACGCCTTGGGGATAGTGGCCACAGCAGGCATTGTGTGATTATTTCGGTTGTTCACCGAACCCTCATCCAGTATGAAAGAGCCAAGTTGGAAGCTACCTTGTGCGTGGTGATGGTGATGATGATATGAATGATGGGTATAGTGCGGCGGCGGCTGTTGCTCCGGGGCTTGTTGCGCGGAGCCGGTCGCATTTCCCCTCATTGCTTCAAACCCAACATAAGGGCCTTGGGATGCATAGGGATTTGATCCATTTTGATGCGCCTGGGAGTTGAGTCCGTGATGATATTCGGAGGACCTCTCATAAGTCGAAGTGTCATTGAAGACAGGATCCATTTGATTTTGGAGCACCGGGATTCTGGCCGGCTCCGCGACGTGCAGCGGACGAGGGCTTTCGGGAGTCAAGGTCTTGCCTCGGAAGTGGAGAGCTTCATCTGGGGAATTGGGCGTCATGTAGACCAAGGTCGAGAGGACGAGTCATCTACAAAAAAAGACACGCAGAGAAGGACCAGAAGGACCAGAAAGACCACAGGAGAGATAGGGATTTTGGAAAATCGTCCAAGCTAAGGTGGGGCTATCTTGAAAAAAGAACCGGGCCGTTGGAGCCGGGGCGGTAAAGGAGACGATGCGATGGCAAAAGACGGACGGACGGAGGCGAGGAAGACGAAAGTGTGTGTGTAGGGAGAAAGAGGGAGAGGCGAGAGGGAAAGAAGGGGAGAGTATCTCCTGATAGAGCGATGAAAATACCCACGAAAATGTCAAGGTCGGGTGAACTCCCAAGTAATAATGGTCAAAGGGTAAATCAAAAGCAAGAAAGTACAGTACAAGTACAGTAGTAGTTGTGAGGGGGAGGAATCGGAGGAGAGGTAGAAAGTAGGAGGGAGAGAGAGGGAGGAGGGACGGGTGGAGAGGGAGGGGGGAAAAGAGGGTGGTGGCAGGAAGAGATGGGAAGGAAAGAAACACCACCTCACCACCACCACAACCACCACCACCAATACTACCACAAGGTTTGCGTAGAGCAAAAGGGATCTAGTAATAGAACAAGTAACAGGGATAGACAGAGTGAAGGCGGGCTGGTTTGTTCAACCATACCCAAGCACTCAAGAGTAAATAAGAGTGATGCTGGATGGCGTACTGTACGGGGTAATGAGCTTGGAGATAATCCCGAAAGAAGTTGGTACGAAGTAGTACTGTAGTCTACTACTTAGTAGGGAGGTGGGAGATTGCCCTGAACTTGCCGGAGCTAACTACTCGAGTACAGTAAGTGAATTGCTGTACCTAGTAGTGTAGTATCGGGGAGGAAAGAGGAAGTGAAGATGTGAGTGAGTGAGTGAGTGAGTGAGTGAGGTCAGGACTCAACACACACGCCAGGTCATTATTACGGGAGAATGGTCAGAGTTTGCGCCAGTCAGCTTGATCCCGCAGTATGAATGGCTAGCATTGTCATTAGCGGCGGGTCAAGGCGCGCCTAGATTTTCTTCTGCTGGAACTGCTGGAACTGCTGCAATTCCCTCCCACCATCTAAACTAAAAATGATCGCTAAGTCAACTATCGGTCTGTCACCGAGTCCAGATTCATGGCTCCGATGGGCCTCTTCCGTGTATATGTCTGGGTTGGGTTAAGCTTACAACAACTGGACATGTCAAGTGACTACCTGTTTTTTTTCGTATTGTAGTAGTCTTTAGTAATAGTTTATAATCGTGGCTTGATAGAGATAATTGTACTTAGTACCTTACCTCATGAATCGGATAGTCTCGCGTAACAACGAAGTGAGGTTGAATAAGAGCCTTAGGGGCACTGGCGGGAACTACTACCACTAACCTTGACACCAAGCAATAACTTATCTGCCCGACCGAGCCGACCTTTAAATCGGGGTAACTTTAGTAGTCTAGCATCATCTTATTCATACCATTCTTACCGCTAAGGAACAGGCCCTTATGCTCGATCCGTACAGCTAGCTACCTCGCTAGAGTCGCTACAGCTAGGCTAGGTACGTTCTGGAAGATCCTCCTCGTGCTTGTCATTGGTTAGCATCTCATCCTTAATTCAATGTCCCCTCCATCCCCAATCCCCCTTCATCCCCTCCCCCGTTTCTAATTACGTGCATCTGCACCACAAACTGCAGCATTTCGGGATTTCTCTTTGACAGGCCCGCACCCGTCACTTTCTGCCATGGCTACCGCGCTCCTCCATAATTCTCCCCGTAGTCTTCTTTGCCTTCCTGTTCGCCGCGGTCCTCTCCTCCTTTCTCAGATTGCCAGCCCCACCGTCGCAAAAAGACCCTTTGCGTCCAGACGGTCCGCCGCTATCAAAGATGAAGACCAGGTGTCGGAAGATGACCTGAGCGCCGCGCGTCAATGGCTAGCTAGCTTCAGCTCCAAGACAATCCCGCGTGACATCTGTGAAGTCTCCTTCAGTCGTTCGGGTGGCCCGGGGGGTCAAAACGTGAACAAGTCTGTTCCCGCCCTGAAAGCCGGTTCATCCCGGTGTTAACTACGAATAAGATGTGGAGTACCGTCCGACTAATGCATGTACCTCTATTGAATATGAGCAGGGTCAACTCGAAGGCCACCTTAAAGGTGTCGCTTGATTCATTACTGCCACTGGTGCCCCGGATCTTGCATTCCCCGCTGCAAGCAACCCACTACATCGCACCAAGGACTCGCAGTCTGGTTATCCAGTCAGAAGAATCCCGCAAGCGGAATGAAAATGTGGAGTCGTGCTACGACAAGCTCCACCAGCTTATCAAGAGAACAGCGTTGGATGCTATCCCTGGGGAAACGTCGCAAGAGCAAAAAGACCGGGTCCAAAAACTGTATGCAAACATGATGACTGCTTGGTATTCATGAAACAAGACGCGGCTCTTAGCTAACACTATACAGGCAAAAGGCCGCAAACGAGGCTCGTATCAAATCGAAGAAGTTCCTCAGTAGCAAGAAGAGTAGCAGACGAGGCAGTAAAGACGATTAATACAATGCTAACTTTTTCATGACCCCTCATGCTGCTTGCTAACGCAGTCTGAAAATAGTAAATCCCGTTCAACGCCTGCACATAACTTGAATAATATTGCATAAAATCTAAAGTCCCTGAACAACGCGCTCTGCATTTCGGATAGTGGCAGAAATGGCTTTGTGCAGTGAAGGATCCAGGCCTTCGGTCTTCTCGAGTGGTTGCAACCAGCTGATGACCTCCTTGGCCACAGAGGGGTTGTTGCGATGAGCCGTGAGACGGCCGAACGATGCGGCAAAAGCACGCGGGAATTCAGGCGAAGTCACTTGTACTCCTGCTGTGGGGAGCTTGATATGACAGATGTGTGTATGGGGACTGTCGGGCTTCGCTTTCTGCATGGAATCAACCACATGCTGCAGAATCTTGCGCAGGCATGGCAGGTCGTCGTATTCGGTCGCCATATCATAGAACTCATGGCCAAATCTGTCATCGTCGTTGAAATTCTTCATGGCTGTTTCAAAGATGGCGATAGGGATGGCGCCGCTCAGGGCGGGCGTCGAATTAAGGGCTTCAAGCGCCGCTTCATCCACTTCATTCTCATCCTCAGCGCTGGGATTGATATCTTCTCCGGTGATCGTTGGCAGCCTAATCATATCTGCATCCATGTCATCCAGAGGCTCTTCTTCCTTTCGAGCCTTGACGGGCTTGTCGAGTCCCAAGATCCGCTGTCGAGCAACAAGTTTGGCAATGTAGAACATCTCGAGTCTTCCATAAGCGAGCCACAGTTTCTTCGAGCTTTTGCAAAACCTCAGCCCGCGCTGCATGTAGCTTCGAGACTGTGTCATATCGGCGTGATCTTCCACATTATATTGTGCGGCATAGATCCACAGATCGACATTGGTCGGATGCAGTCGCAAGGCATCAGTGAGGATATTCGAAAGCTTCTTGTAGGACTTCTGTTGTCTGGTATATTCAATGTACTGAATCCACAGCCCGATGTCACCGTGGAACTTCCGTGTCGCACGGTCAAGAATGAAGAAAATCCTCCTCTGCCCGGTATGGCCGGGCATCTTGATACCCAGACGTTTCACTCTCTTCCGTCGCAAACTGTCCAAGTTCATTTCATATTGGGCATATCGTATGAAATCAGACGGGAGGGCACCGCGGGCATTGAGCTTATGCTCGAAATCAGATCTCTTCTTGACAATCGCCGAGATTTCTTCCTAAAGTCCGATTAACGATTTGCATCAGTTTTTGCGGCCACGACCAAATGGCCGAGGGGCTGTCTGAAATAGTACCTTGGAAAAGATTTTCTTCCTCTCGTACTCTCTAAGCTCTGGAACTGACTTCTCCAGATAGAAGCGCGCTTTGTCAGTAGCGTTGGACATGGTTGCGATGGTTTGAGCCCTGTTCGGATGGTTCTGAGCAGATCGCAAGTCCTGTCAGAATAATATGGCAAAAAAAAAAGTGGTCGGCATCCCGCACGAGATCTCCGACTATCATGGTCCCTGGCCGCCTGCCTATTTGGCACTAGTATCATTTGCGCGCCCGCGTGGTTGCCGAGCCTCCAATCCGACCGAGGGTCATCCCATTCAATCCATCCATCCCATCTCACCTCAGGGGGGTTTGTGTCTCTTGGAAATTGACTTGTTGTTCCATTCCCTGGTCGAATCAGTCTCTCTCTTTTCTTTCTTTTATCTCTTCTTTCTTAAATCTTCTGACACTCGTTATCCTACCATAATTCGAAACTTTACAATTCTGCCTCAATCGCCTCATTAACCGGAGCTCGAGCCCGGTGTCTCCTGCCCTATCATGGCACCCAGATATAAAGATGGGGATGCCGTCGTGGCTGTTAGTTTCTATCTCAATTCGTAAAATGGCGCCGTCTAATCGAACCTCCGACACAGATAAATGGAAAATGGATCTCATGGACTCACACTGCCGTCGCCTACACGGCCTTCTTCAGTGCCCTGGTGGTGGGGATGTCCTTGCATTTCCACAAGATCGTCCAGAACGAACACTACGGTTATCCTGATGAATGGTTTCCTTCCGTCTCAGCGACCATTGGCGATCGCTACCCCGAGCGGTCTTTCTTCCAAGTATTTATTGCTATCACTTCCGGACCTAGATTCGCCCTTGTCTTCTTATGGTATCTCCTTACGGCCCGTCCGAACTCCGCTCTCCCCAAGCTGGTTGCTGGTGTCGGATTGTTTCGGACATTCACCTGCGGAGGGTGGACATATGTGACCTCGACTGATGATCACGACTGGCATGATATCTTCATGATCTCATACTTGGTCGCGACTCTGCCTTGGACCCTCGGCTGCCTCGCTTTGAGCCCGAATAACCGCCAGGCCGTCAAGTATCGGAAGATCTTCGCCGGTCTTTTCTTCGGCACCCTCGTGCCATTGATCTACTACTTCATTCAACACAAAGTGCACAAGGTTCCTGGAGGTAAGTCTCAAGTGCACCCGCAGCTTACTCGGCTTGTGTCTAACCTCTCTAAGCTTATACGAAATACGCTTTCTTCGAGTGGTCGCTTATTCTGTTCGACGTGGGATTCGACGCGGTTACTGCGCTTGATTTCGAAGCATTCGAGATTGTTGTAAGGGACGTCAAGGGGGTCAGCAGAGGGTATGTACAGTGGCTTCCAAAATAAATCACAAGGGAGAGGGGGAGAGAGAAATGTACAGTTGCCAAAAAAGAAGTCGGTGGTGGTGCGCTTGAAAGACGTGATCTAAGCTCTTTGGGAAAACATCTAGGCAGTTGAAGACCACTGCGGACTCCGTTCTTGGAAAAGAGTGTGTATAGCCTGTTCTCCAACAATTTCAAGGATCATTGCAGTTGACTCGTAGTCAGGAAGGGCAAGCCTGTCGGCAACACCTTTGGCGAGGGATTCTTCTGGACAGAGGTCATCGATGCTGCTGCGGAAGTCTACAATGGGGTAAACATCTCTTTCTGCTGATTCGCCCCAGAACCTTTGCTAACGAAGTGTAGTTCATTTTCTGGACCCTCTGCACTGCCCTTCCTGTCCTCGTTTGGTGTAAGTGACGGTTACAAAATCCCGGAACGTGCATGGCTAATCGCACTAGACTTCCCTCTCTGGCATATGGGTATCTCCGGATACGAGGCTGCCATCGTCTCATATCTGTCACCTATCCTTCTCGCCATTCCAGCTCTGAAATCTGCGGTGGTCAAGAACCCTCGTCTTTTCCATCTTCTTTCGTTGTCCGGACTTCTAGCATACAAGATTCAAGACCCCGCCAACCGGCTCTTCTTGACTTCTTTCAGCGTTGTCTGTAGTTGTATGACATGGGCCGCCACGCTCTACGCTGAGCGTGGAAACAATGCCAGGCTGGAGTCGCGGGTCTTTGCGTGGGGCACCGGTCTGATCATGTCGAGCGTTGCCAAGTTCGCCTGCACCACGAACAACCCAGTCTGGCCGATTATGCATGCGGAGAATGGTGGATGGAACAAAATTGGACTACTACTTGCCATTCTGGCTGTTCTGCGATCTTACAGAAGACCTGCGACAAGTGGAGGTGATTACCTGCCATCCAGCGGCAAGAAAGGCTCCTGGCTTCCGGCTGGATTGGGTATCGGAGCGTTGGTCTTCGCCATGCACTACCTTCTTTCTGATTCTAGCACCATGATTGCCTGGGTCTGGGAGGGATATCCTGTGCGCGGACCTATCGCGGCTCCTCACGGTGCCCTCACCATCTTTGCCATGGGCGCCGGCCTTGTCTATGGTCTCTTCTATCCTGCCGCGGCTGGCAGCTGGACGGCATACGGAATCGGTTCTCTCGGCGCGGCATTCCTTACTTGCTACAGCCACTGGACTGGATTCTACGGTGCTCTTGTCCTTGCTTTCTACTTGCTCGCAGTAGCCCCGGTCCTCATCTCTTCTGCTGTTCGGCACTCGCCGGCGGCTACCTTTGGACTTGGTTTCTTTGTTTATATGATTCTCGTGCTGTTCCATGTCTGGGTTGTTGCCTACGCCTTCGTCCCTGGTGGATACCTTGTTAGAGAACACACTGACTGGATCATGATCACAACCATGTTGTGTATTGGTGCTGGTGTCTTTTCTGCTGCAGTCTCCAGTTCACACAACTCACGGAGCAAGATCGTCAGCCCCAACGGCAAAAGACAGCGCTCCTACTTTATCTATGTGCTCGCGGCTCTTCAGCTTCTGTCTATCTCAATTGCTTACCTTCGGTTCCCCACAAACGACTACACTCCCTATCACAAGGAAGACAAGGTTGCTACTATGGGTATCTGGACGGTGCACTTCGGCTTGGACAATGACATGTGGGCTTCGGAGAGGCGCATGCGTGATGTGATCCAAGAGCTGGAGCTTGATGTGATTGGCCTGCTGGAGTCCGACAACCAGCGTATCATCATGGGCAACCGTGATATCACCCAGTTCCTGGCAGATGACCTCGGCATGTACGCTGATTTTGGACCTGGTCCCAACAAACACACGTGGGGATCTGCCTTGCTGTCTAAATTCCCCATTGTCAACTCTACTCACCACCTCCTTCCCTCCCCTGTTGGCGAGCTTGCTCCTGCCATACATGCTACCCTCGATATCTATGGGGAGTTGGTCGATGTCGTTGTCTTCCATTCGGGCCAGGAGGAAGACCCTGAAGATCGTCGCCTGCAGTCCGAATACCTGTCTAACCTGATGGGCTCATCGGACCGTCCCATGGTTCTATTGAGTTATCTCGTCACGAAGCCGCTTGAGGGCAACTACAACACATATGTTAGCGAGACAAGCGGCATGAAGGATATTGACCCTACCGATTGGGACAGATGGTGCGAATACATCCTTTTTAAGAAATTGAAGAGAACAGGCTATGCCCGTGTCAGTCGGGATTCTATCACCGACACGGAAATCCAGGTAAGCCCTCCTGACTGGTAAATTCAACTCGTTCCCTGCTGATAGATACGTGCGCCAGGTCGGTAAATTTGTGATTGGTGAGCCTGAGCCTGAGAGCGAGTTGCGTATTCCCGAGGAGATGGTCCCCAAGGGCCGTCAATTCCCCGCCCTGTTCCGTGGGCAAGGTGTACGTGGCCATCGGTATCATGTGTTTGACGAACCTAGGTACTGGCAATGAGCGTGTGTCTGCGAAAGTCTATGCATTGGTGTCATAGGAGGCGCGAATCATGCTATATCATTCCTGAGTATATTCCCACGAGACAAGCATACCAGCAACTAGTGGCTCATTAGTATAGCTTGGTTGCTATGATATGTACTGTGAATCGAATTGCAAATAATGTACTTTTACCCTTTACTGTAAATTTGTGAATCGGTCACCGTGATCTGATCTGCTTGGAGTGCATAGCCAAGGCCGGGGCTCATCTGCACACCAAACAGTCTCGACAGTCACCATCAGTGTCTAGAGAATCATGAGCTTGAGTCCGAGGATGTCGGATGTTGGATGGAAATCAACGCATATCCTACGACCAGCTGACCCTCCGACCCCTTTCTCTGTGATGTTATATTAAGTAATTGATCATTCGAATGTAACGTAGTTATCAATAACTCTTTCAATTCGACTTCGTTTCAACACGCGAGGTCGCCACCTCAGCTGGAGGTGAGGAATGTGAGAAAACATGTCGCCAGGGCTGGGGTGACATAATGCATATGACAAAAACGAGGCATGAGGGCTGGGGTGAGCTCTTTGCTTCAATGCCTCTCTGAATTTCCACATGGCGTTGGGACTGGTCTTCCCCTCACCCCCCCTTTTCTTTCCACCCTCGTGGGTTGTCGATGAACGACGACTTCCTCGGATGGGGAAATCATCCGGCCACTTCCTAACCTCCCTTTCCAACTACCTTTCACAGCCTCTCAAGACATGAAGAACCCCTCTCTCACTCAGACATGAGCAGCCTACATCAATGCAATAGGGTGAAAGTACCCAACAAGAAGAACTTCCTTACAGCTTTGAACTCGTTAAAGCAAGCAAACAAGCTAACCTATGATGAACCTACATTCCAGACGCCGCAGTATCAACGGCGCACTGGGACAGCAGTGGGTGATCCACGAAACATCCAATTGTGCAATGAGGAATCCTCCGAAGAATGCTGTCCCTCCACCTTCTTTGTTGATCTTCCCCGTTTCCCCCGATTTGATCCTCCGCGGGCGAACGACGAGCACCCGACCAGGTCAGAATAACTACGCTCAAGAGGAGGATGCAAGTGGAATAACCCTTATAGGGAAAGAATTCCACGAATACAAGACCATACCAGGCACAGACCTGATCTCGAGAGAAAAGACCGTGATCAGGGTTACTGGGCAAGGAAGTAGCATGATACGAGAAGGTCAAGGAGGGATTCCTTAACGTTATCAACCTTTTATTTACTCGCGTGTTTCCCCCTCGATATTGAGGAGCAATTTATTGAAAGTGCCTCTGGGACTTGTCCGTCTCTCAACTTTGGCTCCAGGAAGGATTACGCGTGTTCAATCCCGGGACTAGAATCTGTTTCTCCAGCTGGTGTTGTCATCAAGGGACTGGGTATGCATTGGGTTCTGATCAAAGCTTTGCGGCCTCCTGTATTGTGTTTTCACACACGTGCTGCACACACTGACAACTGACATGGGAGAAGAACTGGGGTGAGTATCTGGGGCTCGATCAAACTGTTCTACTCCCTATGAGACAGTATGTTTCTGACTGACATAAGAAAGCAGATCAAGCTAGCTTTGTGTTTATCCCACTTCGAAGCAAAGTCAACATTGCTCCAATTGGTACGCGGAGGCATTGACCCACGCAATCAACAAAGAAACCTCAGAGTCTAGTGCATTGCACTCATTCTGCTTCCAACCTTGGATATATCAACCGCCGGAAAGTGAAAGACTCCCGAGAACGTTCTTTGTTCCAGTCAACCACACTTCCTGCTACCGAGAGTAAACTCACGCTCGCGCTCGCGCTTGCGCTCGCCAGCAGAAAAAGGAGCTCATTCAAACGATACATAAGGTATTTTCCTAACTTCAAAGCTGAATTTCCACTTTGAATATCCTCCCACTCTGTTACTTGGACTCAATTGATTGAATCTCACAGCTACCATCTGTTGTACACATCTTCATCTTATTGTCTGAGGAGATAGATTTTAGATGTGAGTATGAAGTCGATTGCTCGCGCCCGACTCAACCTCATCTATTCTGGCTTCTCGTCCTGACTCATTATAGAGCCACCATGGCGGACAGACTGCCAGAACAGACGACGGGAGAATTGCCTCCTGAAAGTCCTCTATGGACGTATGATATAGCAAATGGCAAGGCTCTCAACGCAGGGCTCCCGAAACTGCCCGGATTGAACGTTGAGATTTTTTTCGGCGAAAAAAATCATCGTCCGCGGTGGTTGATAGTACCTGCACCATGGACGGTACTTCCTAAGGAAACTACCCCTGGTGGAACAGGCCTAGAGGAGAAACGTGCTGACCCAAAGAACCCCAAATCCAATGACGAGGAAATCTTTTGTTGGGAATTCGATCCTCCTCCCGAGCAAAAAGGCGACCGAGCGCTTTATAGACATGCCTATGACGCGCTCCGAGAGGCCCTCCGCAATCCTAAGTTTAGGGAAGAAGCGAGAGATTATATCCAACAGCGATTTTCAAACCTCATGCAGAATAGGGAGGACGTGCTCCCACGACTTCCTATGCCCCCCGATGGTCGACCGTCCCTGAAGCGACAGGAAGCCATTCCAGATGCCGCCAGCCCGCAGTACAGTTGGTTCGATCGCCCGATGCTAGTCTCGAAGCCTGGGTCAGCTATATCTGCCGGCAATCCCTTCCCAGGGTTCGCACCTCCAGTCCCGACTTTCGAAGCAACCTCTCCCTCATATGGTGAGTACAAATGGATATGGTTCGTCGTCATCATCTTGCTCCTAGCAATGTTCCTTTGTTTATTCCTGTATGCGTTCAAGATTCTAAGATAAGAAGTGTTTATGTGTATTTGAGGATACTTTCAACTTTGACCAACGGCAAATCACCCCTTCCCTCCAACATTAGCTTAAGTATGGACAAATGATCCAACCCAAGCTCAAATGTGGTCAATATTTCCCTGGTAGTCTAAGTTTCTTGGTTGTCCGATGAGTTTCTTTGCCAGGATTAGCACCGAAAGATTTCCGCCGTCTCTGCTCACATTCTTCATGATACATCCCTTGCATCCTTGCATTCCTGTTCCCCATATTTGCTTGCGTGCTATATACCTCGCAAGATGCTGATTGCTCTGTGTATACACTCAGAGTACGATGACGATGATCCCGCAGAAGCCGCTAATCCCGCTCCAATACCAGGCCCCTCAGATGGGGATACTGAAACTCACGCCGAGGTGGCTGACGAGGGCGGCTTGTATACAACACAACCATGTAAGGGCAAAACACGGCAACAGTTCTTTGTATCAGCTTTGAAATCCATCTGACTAACCAATCCACCGGCAAACTTTTAGCTGCCCTGTTGAGCAACCAAGAAAACATCCTCAAATCCAAGCTACCAGGCCCGATACCCACCACCCAGACCGGCCAGCAAGTCCCAAAGGAAGCAGCAGCAGCAGCAACACCACCACCACGCAAGCTACCGGATCCACTACCCACCAATCAAGCCGGGCAGCAAGCTTCAAAGCAAGCACCACCACCACCACCACCACCACCACCACCACAAGGACCAAATCCGATCCCCACCAACCAAGCCAAGCAGCAAGTATCCAACCCACCACCAGCCCCGGAGCAGGAGGGGGAGGAGAAGGAACTTGAGGAGGAAACAAGCTCAAACTCCAGCGCCGACACCAGTGTCATTGACAAGGAAACATCGCCGTGGCACAACCCTGAGTACACGGATCAGCTAGTCCAGGAAGCGGCCGACAAGCTCCTGAAGAATGCCGAGGCGTACTGGCCGCCAGAGCGGATCCATCGCCGGATGAGGATGTGGTCCGGCGTCGAGATCCGCGATCGTACCACGATCGGCCTCGAGGGCCAGATCGACCAGCTGCCGCCGTTCCCGGGCAAGTTCAACCCCGCGGCGGATGCGGTGGAGACGCTCAAGAGGAAGCGCGGCAGGGCGCCGAAAGCTGCTGCCGCTGCTGCCGCTGCTGCTGCTGCCGCCGCGGCCGGGGCGGCAGCGGATGGTTCGAAGCAGGCGGCTCCTGGAGATGGAGATGGAGATGGGGATGGGGATGGGGGCGGGGACGGGGATGGCGATGGCGATCAGGCCCCGCAAGCTGCTGCGAAGGGGGCTCCGAAGCGCGATGCTTTCTACATTAATACGAGGACTCACGGGAGTTTTCCGCAGACGGCGCGGAGGGGTCGAAGGAGTAAGAGGATTAGTCGTATGAATAAGAAAAAGAAGAAGAAGAAGAAGAAGAAGAAGAAGAAGTAGTAGTTTGTTGGAGTCATGTCGCTGGCGGATGTGGTTCGTGAGCGGGGATTGGGAAGTTCGATGCGGAGATTCGAGATGGTAGTAACCTGCTGAAGGACGAAAGGTGGTGTGGGTTGCTGATATGTTGCAAAAATCTCTTATCTCTTGTGTGTATCTATACTTGGTTCGCTTGCTATCATTGGGTTTAGCAGTTGTACATAACCTCGTTATGGCTCTGTAGGCATCAGAATAGGAATTCGTGCACTGTATATGTAAGTTATTGGGAGCAAACTGGTAACCGATATGTTGTACTCACAATAAGTGGCGAATGGGGATTTCTGATGCTGTACACTTCTATTTACAGGAGCTAGTATACAACCATGACATCGGGTGTCAACTTCCTAAAACTCGCAGCTCCAACACTCAGACACCACATCCCCATACCTCCGCAACAGATCCTCCAGTACCGGCGCTACTGCCTGCGATCCGCCGATGGTCACCTCTAACGACAAGAGCCCTTTGACGAGTACATCGACCTGCTCCTGCCAGACACTATCATCATCTTCATCATCGTCACCACCACCACCACCACCAATATTGCCGGCTTGATAGGCTGACCCTGACCCCAGACCTCCGAGCCAAAGCTCAATACTGGTCTCGATCGCCAGACGCAAGGCCGTGACCATAAGCGTCGGGGTGATATGATACGCGGTGAGGGGGAGGTCCGCGCTCAATCCGTTTTGCAGGTTGAAGGTGTCGTGTGCAACAGGGTGGGTGAGAGAACATCCTATCGCTTGAGCGATGGAGATTACGGCGGTCTCTTGGAGAGTACGGATCTGTGATTTGGTGATGGGGAGTAGTGAGGAAGAGGAGTCGTGGTTGAGGGAGGGGTGGTGGAGGATGGAGGTTAGTGTTTGGGCGAAAATCAGGGTTCCGAGGTCCCAGAAGGTTAGGACAGATACTGTTAAGAGAAAAGGGGCAGGTTAGTTGGATCGGTTGTTTGGTGGGGCGAAGGTTCAGGGTAGATAGAGCGCAGGGGCTGCGGTGTGTGAGTAGCTGGGGTAGAGGGGACTGTTTGGTAGTTCAATGCGTGGTGACATACATGCGTAGATCTTGGACTCGGTGGAGAGGTGGGCGTAGCTCTCCATGCAATGCGCCATGAATGGGCGGAGGGTGTGGTTGTAGTCGTCTACTGCGGTCATGGTCGACGCTATGATTTCCCATGATGTGAGAGGAAGTGCGTGTTTGTTGTTAGTGGTGCCGCTGGGTGGGATGAGATCCTTGACTTTGATCATCATTCGCCATATGGAAAAAGCTCTTGCTACAGCAGTGCGATAGATCCGTGGGATACTAGCATCGAGATCGCTGGGGTGGATATGGTTGATTGGCGGCGGTAGTGTCGAATTATTCTCCAGGGACACTGTGATCGATTCAGACGAGTTGAGAAGATATTGTGTGTGAATGACTAAAGCTAACCTTTCCTGTGACCAAGCAGCTCAGGGAGCTTGCACTGATAATCTGTGAAAAGAGCGGCCCCAATGTCCCGGATATAACCTCCCCAGCGGATGATGTCTAGACTGGAATGTAATAAGGTCCCGTAAAGTGATGTGGGCCCCAGTTGACGGCAATACTTCCGGACGAGATCATCCAGACGGGACAGCTTCTGCAGCCCGATGTCGAGAAATTCGTGCACCCTGACAGTCGTTCCGTCTGGCCTGTCGTATGCGTGGGAAGGAATGACGATACCATCGAAGAGAAGAATGGCACACACCACCCGAAATGACGGGACTGGCAAACTGCCTTGGATAAGTGACCGTGCCTTTATCCAGGAGTCATGGAAAGTGTCAATGAGAGCATCACGGCCTGCGTGCTGTCCTGCAGGTGACACCCCCTCCGATGTGGGCAGCCATTGAAGGGAAAACACTCGAAGCACTGCTTTCAGAACCGTGTCTGACTGTTTCCGAGCTGCGATGCTTAGTTTGTTGCCGTAGAGGTGACTAAAATGATCTAGGAACCGCACAGCGCCCAGCATAGTCATTCTAGGGTGTCGAATACCCTGAGTCGCTGACAGGTGAGAGGATAGGTGCTTGTTGGCGCCCCCTAGAGCTTGTCATGAGTCTTGATAGGTTCTGAGATGGTTTCGATCCATATTTAGACTGAGGGCACAGCTTACCAAGTTCTGCCTGCTCAGAGAATCTACTTTCGAGATAATAGGGATGACCCGATGCAGAAAGGTTGCACTCATAATCTATAAACCTTGACGCAGAATCCCTTACGATGGTATTGTAGATCGAAGCAAGACACTCGTCGAGCACCGTCGCTTCCAGTTTTGAATTCAACAGGCGTATCGGGCTATTCCTACTCCTGCCCACGAGCATTGACTGGGGGTTGGTTGACAGAGACCGGTGTTCTGCCCGTGAAGCTGCCGACGGAGAAGGTAAAGATGGCCCACCAAGCGCTTCTGTAGCCCTTGAAGAGTCCAGTGATGAGGCCGAGAACGGGTCGTATATATCGGTGCTGGTCCTCTGAGACAGCTCAATATCGAAATTGAGCCACGATGTGAAGTCTTCATCGCTAGTGCCAATATTGACTTCAAAACCATCTCCCAGGCAATTGATCAGTGTCTCATCCCTCTGATTGTGAACCTGCGACTGGTTAAGGTGCAGTAGCTGTGCGCCAACACCTGCTGGGTCTTTGCGCTTCCTCGGCCTTGAAGAGACAGACTTGATAAAGTCAAAGGTGCAGTGATGGTTCAATCGCTTGCAGTTGGTACATATAGCAGCGGGTTCGTCATCAGTAAGGGACAGTATGACACATCGCCGCTTCGAGCGACGGCATGGATCACAGCTTGTGTTCTGGCGACGCCGAGCAGTGGGAAATAACGGTTTCACCACCCTCGAAACTTGCATGTGGGACATTCGGACCAGAATCTCCAAGGAGAAGCAGGGATATTCATGAGCTCATTCTTGAGTATAGATGGAAGTTCACCGACACGAGTAAGAAGAAAATGATTATAAGCAATGTTAGGATTCAAGTTTGGAGCTGGACCTGCATCATAACATAGCTATAGATCCAGAAGGCAAGCGACTGACTGCCCTTTCGGGTAAAACCGGCGGCGATTTCTTGCCTCGCTGACTCCTTGTTAAGTCAGCGGACTCTGTCGCTTGGTGACCAATAAGAGCCTATATCAGCAACTATTCCATGAATTCTACTTTCCAATGTGCATCGGTATCGAAGTTACGAGGTTATCATCACATTTCAGATCCACGAGTATGGGTAGCTCAATGACCAATAAAAATCCTATTATACAGGCAGAAATCATCGCAGAAACAGCTTAGATATCCTCCCCAGCAGCCCTGCGGACGCAATCCACGATGAACTGTGGATTGCTCAAAAACGGGGAGTGTCCTTCTTGACACCGTTCAACCTGCAGCGCTCCCTCACTTTGAGCGACCATCCGCTCTTGCACAGAAAGCGGCAAAGCCCTATCATTCTCGCAGACAATATACGTACTGGGAATTCCGCGATAGGCCGTGTAAGTCACTGGCACGGACAGCGGGCCGACGGGGTACGAGCCTAGCAGATCAAGCGCTTCCTCCACGTCGGCAGGGTCGCATCGATTATAGAAGACCTCGCGCGCTGCTTCCCTGTCCACGATCATCGCTCCATCCTATGTTATTAGAAGATATGGTCAGCCAAGCGGGCCATTTTGCGACGACAGAACGAGAACAACAATCACACCTCTGTGAAGCGCATCCCACCATGCTTCGCTACATACTCCTGCCGCTGCCGTTCGAGCTCCTCTTCTTCGGGCGTCTGAGGTTTGATTTGCCCGACGTGGTTCTGGCCTTCTGGCAGTGCCATGGCAGCCATATACATCAACTGGAGAACACCACCTTTGAGGCCTGCGCTTTCGCGGGTGCTCTTGCCCAAGCCCTTGACTGCTTCTGACATGGGGATTCCGCCAAAAGAATGAGCCACGGTGATCACGTCCCGGCCTGCGTCAATGTAGCCCAGGATGACCTTGCGGATGGCCTCTGCATCGGTGGCCCAGCTGCTGAGGGGAGGGCTGGAGTCCACGGAGGGCAGTGTCACACCTACTGCCTGGTAATTGAATTTCGCCAGCCCGTCGACTAGACGCCGATAGTGCTGCGGCCGATGCCAGGAGCCTGGGACAATGACAATAGCTGGTCTGATCATATCGCTGATGTTGGTGCAGGAGGATGATAAATGAAGCAGGAAGTGCCAGTATATTTGCGAGGGAATGGGGTGATTGGGGAAGATTGCAGAGACACTAGATCATTCTGCAGTGGTTTGATAGAGTCTGAGCCATGAAGACGGGAGGTAGGAACCATGAATTTATACTGCATGAAGAGTTTGACGTGAGAGATCTGCACGATTCTCGGAGCCGCAACAGTAGATACAATATAATGTCCGAGGGGTGTACAATATAGTCCTGTACAGTCCTGAGAAATCCTCCCCGCATTAGTTCCCATCGGCTCCGAACTTCTATAACCAAAGTATCGGATCCGCAGACCGAATCCAATATCGGTTCCGACGCGAAGTGCCTTTTAACGAATCAGAAACTGAGACTTCTATGGACGAGATTTCTGCCGTTAGGCTAGCCACTGTCTTTTCAGTTATTTATGATGTTCCAGTTCCATGTTCTTTCATCCACTTATAATGACAGCCTGAGCAGTTGCCTTATACAGTGTATAGATGTGAAGTTGCGGGGAATAGAGGTTCCGTGTTTCATGGTCTGGATCGGGATCGGTGTATTAGTTCAAGTAGGAAAAGGCGCGCTCCAATGCTATTGAAACTCGAGTACATCGCCAATGCTCAAGCGACAAGAGTTGGAGTCATAATTTGTCCTCCTTTAGTACTGAAGCCAGTTGGCTGGAAAGAGGGTCAATGCCGCGGCGGACAAACAAAGAACCTTGAAGGATAAAGCGGCCAATGCAAACAAGACAAACCGCGACCCGCGATGGCTTCATCGCCCGGCGCTCAACGAAAGCGACAACATCCGACCGACTGGCACCAGGTCCAAAATCCTGCGCCAGGTGTGTCTAATCCAGCGGACTTGTCTGAACGTGCAATTAACTCGGTATCCCTAGACTGTCTCTCTCATTAACCTCTCGTATCGATGACTTGATTGGAGCATCTTGCCGTCCTCGCGACACTACTATCTCACTTATACAGCCGAAGCTCTCCCCAAGGAGCGCGTGACGAAATTCGGTCCGGTCAAGATGTTCACCTTCACTCCTTTGCTCGGTGCTCAGTCATCCGCATCGAAGGCATCGCAGTCGATATTGCAGCTTGAGGGAGGGATAAAAATCCTGGTGGATGTCGGTTGGGATGACACCTTCGATCCCCTTGACCTGCAGGAGCTGGAAAAGTGAGCCATGCTTGTTCCTTGAGATATTCTGAGCTCTCTGATGAAGACAGTCCTCTCTAATCATACATATCTTATACAACAGACACGTTCCTACAATATCGTTGATCCTCCTAACCCACGCGACCCCTGCACACATCGGTGCCTTTGCCCACTGCTGCAAGACCTTCCCTTCGTTCACTAAGATCCCCGTCTACGCCACGAGTCCCGTCATTGCCCTCGGTCGCACACTTCTCCAAGACCTATATGCATCCTCGCCTCTGGCTGCGACATTCCTACCCGAATCCCCGATATTGGAATCTGGAGCGACCACTTCCGCCGCGTCGGCCGCAGCATCCGTCGTCGAAGGCGACGAAAGCCCCGAGGCTGCACATGCAGGTCGCATCTTGCTCCAACCCCCCACCGCCGAAGACATCGCGCGCTACTTCTCGCTGATTCATCCATTGAAATACTCGCAACCTCACCAACCGCTCCGTTCCCCTTGGTCCCCGCCTCTGGACGGCCTGACCTTGACTGCTTACAATGCTGGACACACCGTGGGTGGTACGATATGGCATATCCAGCATGGGATGGAATCTATCGTCTACGCGGTCGACTGGAACCAGGCCCGCGAGAGTGTCGTGGCGGGAGCGGCGTGGTTCGGCGGCTCGGGGGCAAGCGGGACGGAGGTCATCGAGCAGCTGCGCAAGCCAACAGCGCTCGTGTGTAGTACCCGCGGAGGCGAGAAGTTTGCTCTCCCTGGCGGACGGAAGAAGCGCGACGACCTGCTCCTTGACATGATTCGGAGCACGGTTGCCAAGGGCGGCACGGTCTTGATCCCGACGGATACTAGTGCTCGTGTTCTGGAGCTGGTCTATGCGCTGGAGCACGCCTGGCGCGATGCAGCGGGCACTGGTCAGGGCGACGATGTGCTGCGAACGGCAGGATTGTACATGGCGGGCAAGAAGGCCAACACAACCATGAGACTTGCGAGGAGCATGCTGGAATGGATGGATGAGAACATAGTGCGCGAGTTTGAAGCTGCGGAAGGGGTTGATGCGACAACGGGCCAGGCGCAGTCGAACAACGACGGTCCGCGGTCCGGAGGACAAAACAAGACCGAAGGCAGAGGCGTGGGACCGTTCACTTTCAAGCACCTCAAGATCATCGAAAAGAGGAAGCGACTCGAGAAGATCCTCACCGACCAGACACCAAAGGTAATTCTGGCCTCTGATACGTCGCTGGATTGGGGATTCGCAAAGGAGTCGCTCCGCCTGGTAGCCGACGGCGCCAACAACCTGCTGCTTCTTACCGAGCCTCTACACAAGGAGAAAGTTTCCAGTAACCATCGGGAGAACCGTCACAGGAAGACTCTTGGCGGCATGATCTGGGAATGGTACGAAGAAAGGAAGGATGGGGTTGCACTTGAGAAGGCCGCGGACGGCGAGATGCTGGAGCAGGTGCACAGTGGTGGAAGAGAGCTCTCATGGTCCGAGGTGCGCCGTGCGCCTCTCGACGCTGGTGAGCAAATGCTTTACCAACAGTACCTCGCTACAAAAAGAGAGCTGGAAGATACCACTCAAACAGGAGGGCAGGAGAACACCGACCCTGCCGCAGACGTACTTGATGACCAATCTAGTTCGTCATCAGAAGACTCGGAGACCGAGCAGCAGGGAAGGGTATTGACCCTGTCCACAACCTTAGCTCATGGTAACCGCAGTAAGCTGGGGCTCAGGGATGAAGATCTTGGTGTCAACATTCTCTTACGACGGAAGAACGTCTACGACTACGACGTCCGAGGCAAAAAAGGCCGCGAGCGGATGTTTCCCTACGTGGCTCCTCGGAAGCGGGGTGATGAGTATGGTGAATTCATCAGACCCGAGGAATATCTTCGGGCGGAGGAGCGCGAGGAAGCTGATATGCAGCAACGTCGGACCGACTCCCAAATGAGATTAGGACAAAAGCGACGATGGGACGAAAGCGGACCGAATGGACGCCGTTTGTCCAGCAGTGGTGGCAAGCGCCACCAAGGACAGGGCGAGGCCTCGAAGAAGGATATCAGCACAGCGGATGAGCTGAGCGTTATGGAAGACGGCGAGGCCGCTGATGCTGCTGCCTCTTCTGACGATGAGCCGGAAGGTCAGGCATTTGAAGGGCCGGCCAAGGTCGTCTTCGAGAAGGCGAGCCTGACCATCAAAGCGCGCCTCGCGTTTGTGGACTTCACCGGTCTGCATGACAAGCGCAGCTTAGAGATGCTCATTCCACTGATTCAACCCCGCAAGCTGATCCTGGTTGGAGGCATGAAACAGGAGACGACGGCCCTGGCCGACGAATGCCAGAAGCTCCTTGCAGCTAAGGTCGACGTCGACGTCCCCGCATCCGCGGATTCGGCAGTGATTTTCACTCCGGTCAACGGAGAGACGGTCGACGCCAGCGTTGACACGAACGCTTGGATGGTCAAGCTGAGCAACCACCTGTTCCGACGATTGAAGTGGCAGCATGTACGCAGCCTGGGTGTGGTCACCTTGACGGGACAGCTTCGGGGCCCTGAGTCTCAGCCTCAGCCCGCAACAGCAGAACAGGATCAGGAGGGCCCGCACAAGAAGCAGAAGGTGTTGCCGCAGGAGGAGACGAATCCTGCCACGGATTCTGAAGCCGAGTCGACAAAGCAGCAGCAGCAGCAGCCACCGCCACCGCCGCCGCCGACCGACAAATCCGATATTTACCCCTTGCTTGATGTTCTGCCGGCCAACATGGCGGCGGGAACGCGATCCATGACCCGGCCTCTCCACGTGGGCGACCTCCGTTTGGCGGATTTACGAAAGCTCATGCAGGGGGCCGGGCACACTGCGGAGTTCAGGGGGGAGGGAACGCTGTTGATCGATGGGATGGTGGCCGTGCGCAAGTCGGCGACGGGCCGGATTGAAATCGAGGCATCGGCGCAGTCAGCAGCGATGGTCCCCGGGCGTAAAGGGGCGGGTAGTTTCCTGGCCGTGAAGCAGAAGATCTATGAGGGACTGGCAGTGGTTTCGGGGAGTTGATTGATATTTCCGGTCGGGATGCGAATCTGTACAATCTTTGTGGATGTGTGTGTGTATCTGTGCAAGACGAGCTTTGATCTAATCTATCATGAGATTTGGGGAGTGCTCGGACATCTCCGTGTAGCTAATGCATGCATGTCGTCTAAGCAATATGCATGATTGCTTGTTCTTACGGTACTTCAATATAGGTCTTTTTGACTACAACTACGCAACGACTATATCCCTAAGTACCGCTACTTAAATCCCAAGTCTCAGAGGTTGCGAGACAGATGACTACCAACACCTGCTACTATTCGTCCCGATCCAGCCCAGCCGCCTTACAACTCTTCATTCCCCTCACCACCCTTCTTGTATAGGATAATCCGTAACCAAACCCGCAACCCAACCCTCTCTCTCCCCTCTCCTTGACAGCCTATGACCTGTAACCTGTAACCTGCATTTGCAGCCCACAACCAATATGACTCGTACCTATAGCAAACTCACTCCCAATCAATAGTACACGTCACATCGTCCACCACAACCACAACCACAGCCACAGCCACAGCAGCGACTATTGCCATGCATTATCGAAATACGGAGTACGGAGTAACTATTCCAATAACCCTCCTCACGACGGAGTAGATCGTATCCATCCAATTCCAAAACAATCCGACATATACAGACAGTAGTCACTTCGTAGAATCTATTTCCAGGTGCAGCCATTTACACCGCCCCTCTCGGGGTTCCCCCCCTTTCCCCTTTCTATGAATACAAAGCAAGCCAAGTGCACAGCTCTCCCTTTTTATCTCTATAAATGGATACGGAGGGGCTATTGTCTCGGGGTGAGGTGTCAATCATTGATTGGGATTTGGAGTATTCGATGCTCTAAGTTAGTACTACCTGTGTGACTGACTACTGGTTACAACTGTTCTCGGGGAAGAAAGGTGGCTGGCCGGCTGGCTGGCCGGCTGGCTTGGGTTGCTGGATGGAAGTAGGTGATTGACTGTCAATTGCGGTGAGGTGAGGAGTGGCTGAGGCAGTTCTTTGGTGGTTGATTTCTTTGTGTGGGTGGGTTAGTGTTTCAGGCGGTTGTTTCATCGGTGAGGGAGGGTGTGTTCGGTATCGATTTGGAGGGTTGTTCGGTGTCTTGGGGGTTAGTTACTGCATAGTATACCTGCAATATCAGTTGAATAGGAGTTGGGGTTGGAGAGTTGGATAATTGGATGGCTGAATAATAAATTGAATGACTGGCGATAGGTAACTGCCGTATTAGATTTGATTCTCAATCCTGATATACAGATGCTAGAAGGTTGTTCCATCCTCCTTCTGGGAAACAAGCTCCGACAACGGAATTTGAAGCAAACTATGGAGTACCTTAGCTACCACTACATGGTTAGTCCTTAGATACCCACGGGAAACAAAATAAGCAAGGGCGTCACGGCCGGATTCGCAAAACCCATCCATCACCCTAAGTTATACTCTTGGGTGTCCACCGGCCGGTCCCCAGCACCGCAGACATAGTTCAATCACTGAATTGTATATCATCCCTCCACAAAAGCCCCATTATCAAACACATCACATGTACACCACCACTCCGCACTTGGTCCATTAATGACAGCAACTATGGAAAGCTTAATTCCAATGGAAACTGGAGACTGGAGACTGGAGTCGGGGAACTTGAAACCGCGGCAGTTTCACATGATGATATGACAGGAACCACCTACCTACAGTGCACAATCATGCGCACGGGTATATGCATTGTCTTCCGCCGTTGAACAGAGATGAGGGACTGTACAGATCTACTCCACGCCGACCAGACCATTGATCCGATTAATTTGGGTAGAATTCAGTCTGGAGTAGTTATGGGGTACGGAGTACAGCGCAAGGCCTTCTATTCCGGTTCCCAATCCAATGGGGTGGGCAGGGTTTCCGAGAAGAGCCCGGATGTACTGGCGTACTGAGTGCTCGTGTGAGGCCGCAGTGTATAGACCGGTTAGTAATATGCACCACCAACTTCATACTAACTTCATACTGCCCACTGCTGGCAATCTTGGGAGTCACGCCTGAATCTTTTCCCCATGAGTTCCAGCACTTAACTGACAAACCAGTCGGGTAACTTGCTCCACTACGACTTCCGATGGTGGTGGCCAGTCGCCATGCGTCTACTGTGTACATAAGCAGATTCAGCCGAGGATTCATCAGAAGTTGCCACACCACGGTTCTCCTGCTCTCGCTCACGAGCGAGGCCCCAGAATTTAGCCATATCCCGAACCTTGGAAAGCATGCCAGCCTGACAGTGTCAGGGTTCACCGATTGAACCCTGTGATTCGTTTCTCGGAAGATGGCGGGATTGTGATGTCCACGGTGAATTGCCGGGTTCGGGGAGGAGGAGGGTTGGGACTCCACACTTTTACACTGTAAGCCTGTACACTGTACTGGACTCTCCAGCATGCTGGGTTACCTGAGTCTGCCCACTTTTTGCCAATAAAACTTGATTGGGTTACAGTCCTCGATAAACAACTATCAAGTCATCAGCTTGATTAAGATTACCGTGATAAGTTGCGGTGGTGGCTACGTCAAGAAACCAACCGCCTTGGACCAGTGACCGGCGACCAGTGACAATGCACCAGTGCCTGACTAATCCCCAGTCCAACAATGGGGCACGAATGATAATGGACCTTGCAATAGAGTTGAACCCCGATTCGTGGATGGCCATTGATCAATGAATCTGGGCCAGCAATAATGCGTGGCCATCGTGTGGGCGGCTGTGAGATCCACTACGCTGGTAAAGACTTACTACTGACCTGTCTGTCTGTCTCTTTCTCTCCTCTTCCTCCGACAAGACAAGACAACACAACACAACCACAGGACCACAGGACCGCTATCATCACGCGAACAAAGCAAGTTGACACCCCTTCTCAAACCAGAGCATCATCGTCTCCCCGCATCACACTCCCCAAACAAACCACAAGAACAAGATAGTAGAACAACAAAAAGCCATGCTTATCTAATCCCCAAACCAGATAGGCCAAAGTGGACCCCCTCGAGTCCTCTTTCCGTCCACGGTCATCAAAGGCCCAAAGCCCAGGTTGGAACAATAATGAGGCGGGCGGGAGTGAGTTTGGTCGATGGACCCGATGGAGCGATGGAGGAGGGCCCAGCCCCACTTCTTCTGGATCGAATTCGACTCTCTTGACGGGACTTGGCTTTTTGGTCGAGGGTCCAGGCGCGGCGCCGCACAGGCTACAGCCCATTGGATTTTTTTCATTTTTCTTTTTTGAGAGGGTATCTTTTGCCCCTCCTTCCTTTTTTCTTCTGACTGTCCCTTTCATCCGCCCACTGCCACCGGGTTAGCCCCATTGGGTTTTTCTAGGATGAGGGATATGGCGTCATCAATGGAATTACAGTACTCATATGAGTAATTGAGTTCCTTCCTTCCTTCCTTGCCAGTGTGCTCCATGGACTCCGACGAAGAAAAGAAGGAAGGAGTAGGAGGGGCCCGGGGGTAATGAACCCCCCCCCCCCCCCCCCCGGCGGAATCTTCCTCTGCCTCGACAGGGTAGAAGTCAGGTTTCCTTTTGATGTGAGATGATGTTCGTATCCCAAAGTATCAATCCCCCTTAGTGTCTGTCATCGACAACAACACACCGCACCACACCGCAACCTTAATTAACTCCGGCCGGGAGAGCATGTTGTCACAAGTCGTTAGGCTGGAAAGTCTGGCTGCTGTGTGACCAGTACCTGCATAGTACCTGCAGCATCTCGGAGATGCTAGCAGTCGATGTATTGATTGGCACTTAGCACTAGCACTTAGCATGGAGGAAGCGTGTACCGGAATATGTGCCGTGTGACTTGTCCGAAACTTGTTGCTTCCCCCCCCCCACCAATTCATTGGTTTGAATGTCGATGTGGCTTTGGCAATTTGAGGCACGGAGAGGTATATCCTGTGTCCTGTTGTTACGTGTCAGTTTTGTGGTCCAGCCACATATCATAAAGAAATAAAAGGACAGGGACAAGGACAAGGATAAGGGGTCAAAGGATCATACAAACGGAGAGGAGCGGGAGGGGCTTATGAAGTATCGGCTTGGTTTATTGGTTTTGGATTTGCGGATTTGTTTTTTGTCTTGTTTCTTCCTTCCATGTCGACAATTGAGTCGATTGGTCTTGCACTGGTTTGAGGTGTCAGTGAGGGATACGGAGGGAGTCAGACATTGAAAATGAGTAGATCAAGGAAGGCAATTCTCAATTGCTAGTACTTAGTCGGATTAGGATTACTGTTTTAAAAGTCATTCAGTTACTGTCAGATGGCTTGGTTAACGAAAGCAATAGTCATTCTTTTTGTCTATTCGAGGTCTATCCGTCAATCGTGTGATGTCAAATCACTGCGTACATCATAAAGACATGAGCGTGGCAACAGCAGGCCGATTTCCTTTGGTTCTCTCATAACAAACTGGGGGGTGGGAATCAAGGGAAAGGAAGTCAAAAAAAAAAGAGAAGAAAAACCTCATCCAGAAGCACAGAAGCGTCGTTGGAAGTCGATCTAGCCGACTCCAACTCCACTCGCTGGTTTCCGGTAGGCATAGAAGTCAAAGTGGGGACGATGACTACATGGTTGAGCATGTAGAAGAAGTCAAAGAAAGTAAAAAATAGAGAGAGATGAGAAGAAAGAAGCAAAGCAAAGCCCCTCGGGCTGCAGTCGTCGTCGAAGCAAGTTGGCAGGCTGGCTTCAGGGTCCTCTATGACACCTTACGAAGAGCCGGAACCCAGGGTCAGGGTGAAGCTGGTGTCAATGGGGCAGCCGTGGGTAGCGTGGTTGTCATCGGGCTGCTGGTAGGCCTCTTGGCAGTTGGTGTTGCCAGCAGAGCAGGTCACGGTGGGGCAGTTGCCGCCACCCGAGGAGGGAACGACGCTGAAGCCGTATTTGACGAAGTCGGAGTCGGGGCTCAGGTTGATGGAGGACATGTCCCAGAAGATGGTGTCGCCGGACTGGGTGTACTCGAACTGCAGGACGTCGGCCTGGGACTGGGAGGTGGAGAGCTTGATGGAAATGCCACCGCCGTTGTCGTTGGTTTGCCAGCTGCTGGTGTAGGATCCGCCGCCCGCAGAAAGGGTCTCCATGTTACTGACTCTATCAGAAACAGACCACGCGTAGACGTCGGATCCAATGTTGTTGACAATGGTGACACCACCACCAGCGGTGTTTTGGCGACGGGTGTGGGGGAGGGCCGCAGCGAGACCAGCCACGGAGGCAACGAGAGCAGTCTTGAAGAACATCTTGTAGATGGAGAAGAGAGAGACAGGCGTGCTGATTGGAATATGATGTCTGAACGACGACGGAAGATGTGGGTTTTGAAATCCTTAAAGAAGGATAAGAGAGTGGACTGATGTAGTAAAGAAGGACGAATCTGCGCTGCAGATCTAAGAGAGTGACAGATCAAAAGATCTAAAACCAAACCGTACGAACAAGAGAGTGTCGATGGATGCAGAAAAGAAAGAGTCGATCTGAGACGTGCGAATGAAGGCCATTATATAGACAAATGGGGGGGGGGGGGGCAAGTCACCCACGCATCGGCCTTGTCATCGGGCTGAGTGCCTGGCGATTACGGTGTACCAACCGAACGATGACCCGCGATGGCGCAGGGGTAAAACTTTGTTTGAGCGGAAAAGAGAAGAAAAAAGGCCAAAAAGGAATAAACCCCGAATGAAAAAAAGAGGCACAGAGGAAAAAGCGAACCAGAAAAGGGTGTGACGTGGATTGGATCCCTGGGGCTTCTTGGAGAGTGGTGGAAGTGGAGAGAGCGAGAGTTCCTGAGCGCCACGAGATATAGTGGGGCTTGAAGAACCGTCAAAATTCAAGACAGAAGGTGGTATTGATCATGCAGATAGTACTGCGTACTGAGTACAAGTTACTTGTAGGTAGGTCCTGTAGTAGGTACTGTAGCCATTGAGAATGAAAAGCTGACAGGTGCTGCAGCCTGTAAACCTGCCCGTTGCGGTGTATGAGCCGAGCATGGAATACACCGTGCATATACATTGGTAGATACTCCGTATGTAAAGCAATCCTTCAGCAATATTCAATAGTATCAATTCTCCAAACGAAGTGTGACTCGTCATCGGCTGCTTGCTACCTACACTGTACTGACTGTACCGTACACACACCCTCCCATCCATGTGAGTATAACGTACTTCGTACGGGGTAGTGATTGTGCTTGTGATTGTGATTGAATCCCAAAAATAGGCGTCACTCAGACGCATTTTCATTGCATACTTTCTCTTTGCGGCATTCTTTTTCCTCAGCGTGGTGTGGGGTTGATTCCCGTAGCCGTGGTCAGCACTAAAGCTGTGTGTGCCTAACCAGCCTCATTGCAATGGGAATAATCTTTACCGTGTCTTGGTCCGGTGGCAATAAAGGTTGCACCCCGCCAGGCATCGCGTGGCAGTACAACCGCAGCCGACAGACAGCAAACTCCCCCTCCTCCGGTCTGAAGCCCCGAACCAAAAACTCGGGTTCTTCCTTCCTTTCTCTCTTTGCCTCCGGGACTCAAAGAATGGGTGAAGAAGGAGATCTTTACCATGGCTCTGTCTGCAAAAGTCTTTGCCTTTCGGCTGACAGGGGAAACAATTTGGGTCTCCCCGAACTTCATCTTTGTCGGCTGTCTCTTTTTGTTCTTCTTTTTCTTCTTCTTCTTCTTCTTCCTTCTTCGAATGAATGAGGTTCCCGGAGGTTCCCCATCGTCGATGCCAAGTTCCCAAGGCCCCCCCTCAAAAGTGGATCCTAGGCTTTTTTTTTGCACTTGCATGCAAAAATTCTTCACTCACTCACTCACTTTTCTCACCGTCCACTAGACTAATTCCCATTAGTCTCCGCCGGCACCCTAAGTTAATTCGCACTTCCTTTGCCCCTTCTTCCATTCTTCCCGGCCCGGGTTCTAGACTCCCCGCTCTTTCCAGAGCTCGTTTGTTTTCTCCCTTCGCTTCTCACCTCCTACCCTGTCGTCTGCCTTGCCTGACAGGGTTTCGAATCCAATCCAATCATAAGAGGCTGCTACATCATCCGTCATTGCTACGCTTTACCTGCCTGTTCCTGAGGGATTTTCCAAGAAGAAAGAAAGAAAAAAAAAAGTCAAAAAATCCAAACAACAAAGTAGAAACCTTCTCACGGGCTTCTCTGTATGGGTTCAAGTGGTTCAAACGCTTAACCGTGGTATAACTGGAATGATCACTGCTGCATGTGTGAATGAAATTTCGCCATCGCGTCCAACCCCCTCCCCTCCCTTTCTTCCTTCATCCTCGTTTACCCCTCCCTAGAAGTCCGTCCTTTCCCCTCATCTGCGTTCGGACATGGATGGTAGTTTCAATGGGTAGATATCAATTCCGGGGTCTTCACCAATAAGGTGCTCGTAAGCCAGCCAAACTCGTGATCCCCCCCTCTCCCACAGCATCGTCGCGTTTGCGTTGCCCCGCCAGCTCCAGATTGATTTGCCGGTGGACGTGCACCAGCCAGTCTACGTAGCTCTGGGCCTCGTTGTTGCGGTCTTCCACCAGCATACGAGCAAACTCGTATTCCGCGCCGTCGAGCCCTTGGCGGGCCAACTGGATGGTCACCGCCTTGGAGCCCCGGATGGTCGACAAGTACTGCAGCAGGTTGCGCACTTGCGCATTCAGGTGTGTTTCCAGCACGGGAATGGTCGACGTTTGGGGACTCAGCCCTTGCAGCGAGTTCTGGCCCTCACCGAACAGATCTTCCAGCAGATTGGGTGACACCTGCGAATGCAGCCACAGCAAACACTGCTGGCCATTGTCCACCAGGTACGCCCCGCCCTCCTCGATTTTCGAGAAGCTGGCCCGCAGTGAGGGGGGCACCTGTAGTTGACCCTGTTCGTTGGGGAACCCATCCGTCGGCTGCATGTTGTGGATGGGAACGATGCGGGGATACAGGTACAAAGACAGTTCCGTGCAGCCGATGGAGCGGAGCATCCGCATGTCGTGAATCCGCCGATCAGACGCTTCCTGGCCCCCTACTCGATAATTAGTGTTTGTCTCTCTTTTTCAGCACGGCAAACGCGGTTCTACCTTTCAGGGCGCGTGACTTGAGGAGACTCAGCATGTACATTGAGAACTCCTTCAAATTCTCCGGCAGTACCAGCTGACCCGGAGGATGCGAGCCGGAGAAGATCTTCCGATAACCACTGAAGATGTCCACACTCTTCTCCGTAACGCTGGCCCGGATATCTTTGAGGGGCTTGTCCACCGTTTTCGAGGCCGCTGAATTCAATTAGTGACCATCATCACCCAGATAGAGAAGAAAGTCTTACCCTCTTTGGCAATCATGCTGACTACTGCATCTTGATCCACAAATTTCATGGTTTCCAGACCGCCCTCGTTGACTGCCGCCACAGTGTTGATACACCGCACTCGCCGCTGACCATTAGCCGAGGTGTATAGCAGAGCAGCCTGGAAATGAGCGTCTAGCTTGGGATTGAGCTTTCCATCGTAGTTGAAGGTTACCCCAATTGCCTTGTCGGCGTCGATGGCTCCAATCTCGAGGTCGGCACCAAACGTGTGTTGCACGAAGTTGCCATGGTATCCAGACACCTGAAGGCCGTTGGAGCACCGGACCTTCATCAGAGCCTGATAGCCCGTCTCACGCGTGACCGCATGGGCCAATTCTTGAGACAGCTTGCGGATATCGCGGGGCGCATGGAAGTTAGGGTAGAAGAACGTTTCTCCACCCGTCACCTCGGGAACATGACCTTTGAAACATTAGCAGCTGATTGTGGGGAAGGTGGCAATCAGAGCTTACCGATCGTCGCTACATCCATATATGTGCCGCTCGGCGCTGCGATGAACATATCGACGCCGATGCCAGCCTCTGCCAGGTGGCCTGCCGTTTCTCTCCAGCCCGTGTGTTCCGTCGTGAACAGCTTTCTTTCCCCGTCGGTTCCGTGGACCTTGGGATCATCCCGCAGTGAAAGAGCTCCAGGGCCCCATGTAGGTAGGCTGGCAATTGTGCCGATGATTTTACCACCAGTAGGTCTCAAGGCAGAGAGAGCGGCATTCAAAGCAGGAAGCAACGCGGGCTGTGGGTTTTTGACACGGGAGAAGATTGTGGGGATTCGTTGTAACAGAGAGGTAATGACATTCCTGTGTCTCATGTCAGTGATATTCACCAGAGTCGCGACCACCGGGGAGCATACTTGGATTCGTAGGGGTCAACAAACAGTCCCTCGCTGAGAGGGACAAAGGGCTCTTCGAGATCCGTCATCACCATCATTTGAGCTTGGTCAAGCTGTGCCTATGGATTCGTGAGTATATTGTTCGATCCTAGCCGTGGGAGCTGCACACATACACTGAGATTATAGAAGTGAACTTCCTTGTCGTAAGTGACAATACCAACCTTAGCACCCTCGGGAATTCTCCGCGCCGCAGACTCATCGTCCACGTTCTCCGAAGGCTCCTCGCTGTACAAAGCTTCCATGATACCCTTGCATACGCCCTTCAAGAAACCCCGATTGACCGATTCCAAGCTGACGTCAATCAAGAAGAGCCACTGGAGACCAACAGGTTCCTTGTTCCAGTAGTCTTTGGGAACCAGGAACTCGACAGTTCCCATCATCAACTCCGGACGCTGCATGCGATCGACACGGGACCCGGAGGGATCAATAGGCGCGAAGTAGTCTGCCGTTACGTCGTTGGGGAATGTGCACATATTACAGACGAACTTGTTGCCTCCAGATCTGAATGACATGAACGGATTGATATATGTTCTGCACCGACGGCATCGCGGCGGTCCGGCATCGCCAAAATCTAACACGGGAATGGGTTGCTCGCCGGGGTCGAGACGGGCTAGAGGTTGCAGGATCATGCCCAAGGGGAGTGCGGTAGAAGAAAGGAAATCCGATGTCGAAGGGATATTATTCAATGTAAGACGGGCATATTTCGGGGAGGAGTTGCCCTGGTCGTGCGCAACGAAAGGAACCGCTGCCGGTGGAGGGAGGTGCCGTTCCATCGTCGGGTACACATGATTGAAGTAGTACTGAGCCGGGAGGTCGCGAGACCGAGGAATACTGGGGATCTGCTCTGGGTCAATCTTGCCCTGTGTGGGAACGGAGCCTACATCGGCTCCTCCGAGCGCCGGGTTCACTGGGGCAGGGATCCCGGCCGCAGGGGAAATAGGACGTGCGGCCTGATTCAGCCCGGTGTTCAGGAATTGCGACGGTGGCGGTATACCGGCTTGAGGGACTGCGCCGAGTGACTGCGAAGCCGAGGTCGACGCTCCTGCAATCTCGTGGTGTGCGTGACGATGCTTCTTCTTCGACGTCCGAGCCCCGCTATCACTTCCAATTATGCCCAACCCACTCATCTGGGATGCCAAACCAGCCATCGCGGGATCTGGAGACACACCTCCGGCAGCCATCGGATCGGCTTGATAGGCGAATTGACCGTGGGGCGGTTGCAGAGGCTGCTGGGCTGGCGGAGGGGCCCCATATCCGGACCATTGTTGTTGTTGTTGTTGTTGTTGTTGTTGTTGTTGAGGGACTCCGTACATAGCACCGGGCTGAGGAGGGGAAGGACCGGGAGGAACACCAGCGGCAGGATAGCCTTGTGGAGGAACCTGATGAGCTGTACGGTTGGGATCGGTCGAGGCCTCACCAGGCACTGGCCCTTGGCCGAAAGAGTTATACATGCTCGGGTCGGCCATGGTGCTTCATAACGCGGGGGAAGACGAACAACCGGGGCGGGGTGAGGACGAAGTGGGATCGATCATCAACGGGTAGCGGAGATCTTTTTTTTTTCTTTCTTTAACCAGAGGCGGAGCACCACCTGCTACTCCACGACGATCAACAAAATCAGTGTGAGATCGAAGGTGAGTAGCGAAAAAGGGACAAGGAGACAGACCTCGAAGGCCGACGCCGCGGCATCGCAATTGACCACCTAATACAAACAACTGCCCCGGCCAATCTTTGTTCCGGACCCTGTCCGCCTTACTCGTTTCGGCCAGGGGCTCGATCTATATCCCCACTTGGAAAGAAGTATAGCATACCTCCGTCCGATGTTGCAGCATAATTATTCTTTCAAATTATGATAGTACGATCGTATTGATTGTATGCCTGATTAGAAATTGCTATGCTCTTCCCTCACTTGCTGTTCTTATCAAGCCTTCCCGACAAGCTGCATGATGCATGCAATGGAAGGACAGACGACCGCCACCCCTCCAGCCACTTCATCTTTTGAATCCTCAACACTCTGTTGCTTGACTAGATTTTTCAATCGGCGCTGCCTTTGCCACATACTCACACAACGTCAAATTAGCAGACAATTGACTTCTCCCTCGTTGTATCTTGTCTATATTGACCCTAGTCCTTGCGGGGTCCGTTCACCGTCTTTTTGGCGCTCAGCCTGGGATTCAGTGAGTGTCAACTCAACGAAAATATGATGACTGGAAATCTAACATCAGGACACCAATTTTAGAACGATCAATGGCTGGACATCTCTCATACGACCTATCCATTCCTTCTCCATAAACGGCCATTGAAGCACTATAGTATATATGACAAGAGCGTGACACCATGACCGGCGTTCAAGACAACGACGAGCTACTGCTGGCTCGCATTGGCTATCGACAGGTGACTTTTCTTTATCTCCGCCACAAGGCAAATCCTCTAATTGAGCCAGGAATTACAACGCGAGTTCTCGAAGTGGTCGACCATCTCCTACGCTATCTCCATCTTGGGAATCCTCGGTTCGGTGCCCGCGACCTTCGGTGCTCCATTGGCCGCAGGGGGTCCGGCCACAGTGGTATGGTGCTGGTTTGTGGGCTCCTGTATGGCTCTATGCATCGGCAGCTCGGTAGCGGAGCTTGTGTCAGCATACCCCACAGCTGGAGGCATGTACTTCGTCACCAAGCATGTCGTGCCAGAGGAATATGTGCCCATCTTCTCCTGGATTCAAGGTTGGTGTAACCTCCTGGGACAAACAGCAGGGGTTGCTAGTGTGGTCTACACCGTCAGTCAGATGCTGCTCGCTGGTGCTAGTATGAACTCGGCATTGGTCGATGGGAAATACTCTTACTCCCCGTAAGCTTTCATTCCTTTTTTCTGTTTGTTTTTTATCGTTGATGCTGTATCTGGTACTGAGGCGCTCTAGATCTGCATCCGATACCGTTCTTTTGGCTGTGGCCCTCCTATGCATCCTAGGTGTGGTCTGCTCTATGACCACCAGATCATTGCACCGCATCATCGCCTGGTTTGCCCCAATCAATAGTACGTTCTCAATGACTCTGGCTCACAGACAAACCTAACGATATAGTCACCGCCACTGTCTGCATCTGCTTCACGCTACTATGGTACACGCCCAACAAACAGCCCGCCGTCTGGGTGTTTACCCACTTCACAGATGGCTCCGGCTGGGGCTCTAAGGTGTTCTCCTTCCTGCTGGGCTTCATCTCCGTGGCTTGGGTTTTAACAGACTACGACGGCACGACTCAGTGAGTCCACCATGAATTTTGAACGTATAGATCCTCTAACTTTATCTAGCATGTCTGAGGAGACCCGTGATGCGGCCGCCCTCGGGCCGGTCGCCATCCAAACCGCCGTGCTCGTCTCTGGCACTCTCGGTTGGCTACTGACGATATGCCTCTGCTTCTGCCTCACGGACTACGAAGGCATCCTCAACACCCCCACCGGTCTTCCCGCGGCGCAGATCTTCTTGAATGCCGGCGGCCCTGTCGGCGGCTCCATCATGTGGGGGTTTGCGATTCTTGTGCAGCTGTTCACCGGCTGCTCCGCCATGTTGGCCGATACGCGAATGGCCTATGCATTTGCCCGTGACGAAGCCCTGCCATTATCCTCGTGCGTTACTCCCCGCAAGCTCTATTCTCTACTCCCAGCCCTGGCTCCCAACCCCCCACCACCCCACGATCGATATAGCTTCCCTTGAACCCAACAACCCCAAACCAACTAATCCAATCCCCACCCGAAGGTTCCTCTCTCGCGTCAATCCCCGAACACAGACCCCTCTCAACGCCGTTTGGTTCGTTGTCCTCTTCAGCATCAGCCTGACCTGCATCGCCATCGGGTCGACGCAAACTGCCACCGCCATCTTCAGCATCACCGCCCCGGCCCTCGACCTCTCCTATGTCTCCGTGATTCTCGCCCACCAAATCTACCGCCACCGGGTCAAATTCGTGCAGGGGCCCTTCACTCTCGGCCAATGGGGCCCCTACATCAACTGGATCTCGATCGTCTGGGTGACGTTCATCAGTACGGTGCTATTCTTCCCACCCCATGTACCGGTGACAGTCGCGAATATGTAAGCACACCTCCCAAAAAACCCCCCCCGTTACATCAAGAAAGCCCCACCAAACGCCAGTCAACAACATCCAAAAGCTCATGCGATCCACCGCGTAAACCAGGAACTACGGGATTTTTGTTGGGATATTCATCGCGGCATTTGCGCTGGTTTGGTGGTGGGCTGCTGCAAGGGGGTAAGTGCTTTCCTTTCCCCTCAAGTATCCTACCCCGAAGAGCCATCTTGACTGGCTCCATGCGGATCAACAATGTCATGGTTAACCATTCGGGGTGATCTAGACGATACACCGGCCCACGGATAAACGAACAGTTCGAGCCTGTGGCCACGGAGGAGGATTATGGGACGTTTTCGGGGACGGACTCGAATGATATCTAGTTTACGATAAGACTCCGACTTTCTGGAGGGTATAACACCTACGGAAAGGTTCAGTGTCTGAGAGAGAGAGAGGGAAGAAAAGAAGTGATCATTCGATCCTGTCTCAGCCACACAAATTCTGGAACAATAAGGCAAAGACAGGGTACTCGACGCTTGGATGTGATGAGTGAGAGAGGATTCCGCATCTGGGTTTGGAAGACCGGCAAGAGAAATGAAGTGGTATTGATGAGAATAAAGTGAACAATTTCCGGGCTACATATCAAGTATTTGGGACCGCTGATTGTTGGAAGCTGATCAACGGATACATTCAGCACCTGAACCGTATGCAGCGAAATAAGGCAGAGAGACATACGAAGGAGATGAGGACGGGGTAAGATGACGCTCGTCAAGGAGACAGCCCGGCCGGCAGGTGCAGTACAGTGCAGTACGCCGACAGGATCGAAGAGATCTGTCAAACCTAATCTCAGATGCCGATTGATTGCTTAAATGAATTGCGCCATCATGCAAAGAGAGGGGGGAAGGGGCGTGGATGACTCGGAGGTAGGTAGGTACAGTACAGTACTGGTATTCCTAGCTTCGCGATTGCTGAGTTGGGCTTGGGTGCGCCACCGATGCAATGGCACGCTACGCATGCTTTACAGTATGCATATCTCGGACGATATAGATATGCTAATCTGATGGAGAAAAAAATAGGGGGAGAAAATAGGAAAAAAGGAAAAAAGACTATCATCGAAAGAAGAAAAGGAGACCATAACTGTACAATTCACAGACCCCCTTATGCATGGCTCATATAGCACCATATGGCGTATCATGACAATTCATCAGTATTCAATAATGGGAAAATGAGAAAGTCCCGAAACTCCGTCAAGAAGGTAAAAGTACATCTACCCGTGATCTCACTGCTCTAGTTCCACAAATGAACCAGATAAGATCTCAAAGAGGTAGAATGGTATATGTGAAATTAAATATGTCCCCCGTTGGCCCGACGCCGATCCAGATCCTGTGCCTGCCCTTGCAACTGTTCATTTTGAGGGCATTTCCGTCCCAATCAACCAGCTGTGCTGTTCGCCAGCCGAAATCGTAATATGTGAAAAGAAATAAAAAAAAATCAGGGTTCGAAGAGAAGAAGTACACACATGCGTTGCTGATCTGCAAGCGACTGATGTGCTCGACCAGGTCAGCCAACGAATGCAAGGAGGTCCGACGAAATCTTGCTTAAGTGATGAGAAAATCCATCTTCATGTCTTTGATGATCTTCTCCCAATCCCAGCTCTCTTCGGAGTTGTTATCCATGACTTCCCAGACCCGCTCCACGACCTTGAAGGCAGGCTCAATGTTACGGAGGTTGGAGTAAGCTTTGAGGGATTCGAACCCCTTTTTAATTCGCTCGCGTTGGCGTGGCAAGAATGCTGAGCAACCCAGCAGAAACAGGGGCATCAGCACAATGCATAATGCTCCCGCATCTTGGGGGATCTGATCCAAATACGCCAGGCCATCATCTACCACCTGGGCAATCTTTTCGCTCGGTCGGGATGGCCGAATGGTGCGGTAGAGATATACCCAGGTTGACTGCCGGTAGAGCTGCGCAAGGTAGTAATTTGGTGTGTTGGCAGCATATGACGTCTCCCAGGTTCGGATAGCAGAGTCTATCGAGACAGCGTCTCCCAAAATCTGATAATCCACTGCAGGCTCATAACCCTCGTCGAACCGCTGACGGATGCGATCTCGTAATCGAGTTACTTCGGATATGTAGTTGAACAATCCATCAAAGACACCCAGGAACATTCCCGCTTGGGCATGGGGAACAAAATCGGGAAGGCGTAAGTCACCCTGCAAGTGAGCGGGGCGGCGGTCCAGGGAGGTGATTGAGTTGGACACATCGTGATACTGAAAGAACTCCACAATAAACTGACGGAATTTCTCGTTCCGTGGCTGCTGTGTGGTTAAGAGGTACCGTGCGGCGTCCATATGTGGACGGTACTCGCCGTTAGTTTCGCCTTCACAAATTGTATTCAAGCTGAGGGCGATAGTGGAGGCAATTATGGGATCCTCCACCAAAAGCTCGGGTTCCACCGACCCGCCGGAGGAGGCGTTGATATTATCCTTGAGATCGCGAATGGCACGATGGAAATGGTAATATTTACGCTCCTTCAGCTTTGGTTCCGGATCGAGGGCCGAGAGATGTGAGCCTGACAGGCACATGAGGGAGTGCATTAACCCTCGATGCTGGGTGGCCATAGGCAAGAGGATCTCCTTAAAAGGATTGGAATCATCGTTGATCAAGGTCAGAACCCGACTAAATCCGTAGACGAAGTGGTCCAGAAATCGACGATCGATCTCAGTCTCGATACCATCGATCAGCAACGGGAGGCTGCGAGAGACCATGGAATGGGTGCGAGCCGCTGTCAAGCGAACGGAGTCAGAATGGAAGTCTGAGATGTCGTATATGGGTCCGATAAATCAAGGGGTAAAAACTTAAAGGTCGGAACAAAAGAGATCGATGATCCTTACCATCCTCGAGTTTTTGCTTGCCACTCTTCCAGATCTCTTTCGGAGGGTAGCCTTCGCACACGACGGCATTCTTCTGACAGTTAAGACAACTGCGGCGGAAGTCAGCTTTCATCATTGCGACCGGCTCCACATTGTATGAGAGAAGGCTTACGCTGGTTTGGTCTCATCACACTTTTTCTTTCGACGACGACAAGTAATACAGCCGGTTTTGGATCTCCCTTTGGTGATCTTGACCTGACCCCCGGGCGCTGGCAGCGGATGTTTGCGCGGTCGTCCACGTTTCCGTGGGACGTTCACGGGAACAGCCGTGGAATCCGAATGACTCGAGCTCGCATTGGCTATCGCATTTGTCGTTGTCTCCACCCCCACAGGTTTAATACTTTGCAGGTCGTCCACGTCGTCCAATTCCTCGATTTTGGGCGTTACATCGGTCATGGTCGGGTCGGCATAGTGAGTGGCGAAAATGTTGAGTCGGAAGGTCTTCGCGGAGGGCATTGCGGTCGCAGCAAACGGGTGATGGTGGTGGTGGTGGTGTGACCCATCGTGGAGTTTAAAGTCCAGTTCGGCGGTGGGCGCGGTAGGCGAAGTGTCGGAAGGGTTCTCCCCATCCCAGGAAATCGGCGAGTCATTGGAAAGATCGTCCGTGGTGCTGATACTGGTGCGATGAGAAAGTGAGGAGTCATCGACTAAAGGGCAGTCGACAAAGGCGGGGATGTCGGGAAAAACCACCGAGCGGGCGGAGTCGCGACGAACAGCGGTCGGATGTGCTGACGAGAAAGCATGAGAAAGATTATTGCTGTCGGAGGAAGAGGACGATGAGGACGAGGAAGATGAGGAGGATGAAGCAGCATTAGACGGGGAGGAGGAAGGGAGGGCGAAAATGGACGCTTTCTGCAAGGACAACATTGCACCAGACGCCGCCACCTCTCTAAGCGGGAGGTGCGTAGAGATGGTACGCAAGTGCTGGAGTGTATATATAGATCGAACTGAAAAAAGTGTATTGAGTATAGAGTGTAGAGTAAGCAAGCCGGCGATGTAAGACGCAAGGAGAACGAGCGAACAGAAGAAGAGGAGGAAGAGGAGATGGAGGAGGAGGAGGGCGGCAAGCCGGGGTTGATCTGTGACGAGCGAGGAGGGGTCTTTAAGAAAAGAGCAGCAGGGTAGGTAGAACTGTGTGGGAGGGTGGAGGGTGGTAGTGGTGGTGGTATTGGTGGTGGTCAAGCTGATTAGTAGGTGTAGTTGGTATTATTAGTAGTGGTAGTAAGTAGTAGTAGTAGTAGTGGTAGTTGTGGTAGCGGTAGTAATAGTAGTAGTGGTAGAATGACAGTGCTAATAGGAATTTAGAATAATGAAATTAATGAAAATGACAATAATAATAATAATAATAATAATAATAATAATAATAATAATAATAATAATAATAATAATAATAAAATAATAATAATAAAATCACGAATAGATGAATTCAAAGAGGAGGGGAAGATCGAACAGACACAGACAATGGATGGAAGGAAAGTGGGGAGGAACAACAAGACTTGGCTGAGATTGACTGGTTGCGCGGAAGATGGAATCAACACACTGGGTGACAAGCAGCTGGATTGAAGTTAGTGCGTCACAGACTTGAGCAAGTTCAGTGGGTGGATGAAGGTGGATGGAGATGGATGGAGGTGTGTGTGTGTGTGTGTGTGTGTCTGTGTGTGTGGTGTGTGCGTAGTGGGCGTAGTGGGCGTAGTGGGTGTAGTGTAGAGTAAGTTAGAGTAGTGTAGTGTAGTGCAGTGTAGTGTAGTTGGGAGTTGGGAGTTGGAGTACCCGTAGTGTGTGTTAGTGGCGGACAGTCCTTGGTCAGAGAGAAGTAATAGTAAGTCAATGGTCAATTAGACTAACTCCCCCAAGTTTAGAGTGAGAAGAAGGGGAAAGAGGGGAAAGTGTCAGTGTAAGTGTCAATGTCAGTGTCAAGAGTAAAGAGAGTGGAAAAGTGTGCGAGTCTGCCTGTCTGCCTATAGAACCACAACAAACGAGGCTGGGGATCTCGTCGATCAAAGAGAAAGCGATAACTACCTGACAACCCCCAGCTTATTAAGGATACACCACGGTGAGAACAGACGCCGTCCATTTGAA